TGGTTCTAATTTCCTTTCTGCATATCTTAGCAACATCTTTGTACTCTTCCTAAGTTGCTTGTCCCATCTCCCACAGGAGAGATTTCTTTCTCCAAGTCACCTGGCTGCTCCGATGCTGTGAAAATGGGACCAGCAGTCTGGAATTAGAGGGCAGTCAAGTCTCTTACTAGGGAAGGGGGCACTGACAAAGTGATTGGAAAATGGACACAAGCCTTCGCTCTATGGAGGCAACTCTTGTCAGACATGAAGGAAAGGCATCCCTTCAAGAAAGATTCTGTATGTCACCTGGTCAAGTGTGCTACCATGGAGGGAGGTATGCAGTACTTGAGGGCATTAGCTGTGCTAGAGGTGACCTGCACCTGCAGCTCCATCAGGTGCTCAGAGCCCTGTCCAATCTGACCTTGAGTGTCTCCGGAGATGGAGCATCCATCATTTCTCTAGGCAACCTGTGCCAGTGTCTCACCACCCCTATTAGAAAATCTTCCTCTTATATCCAATCAAAACCTCCCCTCTTTTACTTTGAAACCATTTCCCCTTCTCCCATCACAGCAGACCCTGCTAAAGAGTCCGTCCCATCTTTCTTACGGCCCCTATAGATACTGACAGGCTGCTCTCAGGTCTCCCTGGAGCTTTTTCCTCTCCATGCTGAACAGCCCCAGCTCTCAGCCTGTCCTCATAGGAGAGGTGGTCTACCTCTTGGGTCATTTTCGTGGCTCTCCTTTGGATGCACTCCAATAGGTCCAGATCTCTCCTGTACTGAGGACTCCACATCAACAGCTGGCAGTGTAGAGGCAAACCCATCCGGGCTGCAGCACTGTGGAAAGATATTGCTGCCTGGGTTGTAAAAGCATGTCACGTAAATGTCCACATAACCACAAGTCATACCACTGAAGGACATCAAAAACAACCAGCAGGTGGATCAGGAAGCCAGGACTGAAGTGGCTTGGGTTTATGTGCACTGGCAACATAAGGGTGAATTATCTATACCTTGGAGGGCACGTGACACCTCATACCTTCAAGGATGAGATACAACATATTGATGGACTTGGGATGGAGGGGTGGACTTGACCATGGATGTTATTGCACAGGTTTTCCATGCATGTGAAATGTGCTGCCTTCAGGCAAGACAAGTGATTAAAGCCTCTTAGGTATGAAGGACGATGGCTGAAATGTAAATACAGAGAGGCCTGGTGGATTAAATCACACCACGGCAAGGTCCACGTGCTTAAAATGGTGGAAGCAACCACGGGACGGATGGAAACACATCCTGCGCCTCGTGCCACCGCCAGGAACGGCCTTGAAAAGCGAGGCTTGTGCTGACACGGCATCCCTGAAAGAACCGAGCCAGACAACGGGACTCGTTTCCAAAACAACCTCGTAGACAGCCGTGCCAAAGAGCGTGGCATTGAGCGGGCTGCTGGGAAAACGGAACGAGACAACGGTGCCTCGAGGGGATTTGATGTAGGGTGAGAACAAGGCAGTGCTTGGACTCGCATGATGTGATTTACTGAAAAATTCCCCACGTCATCACGACGGGGCTCGCCGTACGCATCAGCACCACTATTACACAGCCAGCCCCAGGCCCGAGGGGGGCGGCACGGTGGGGCGGAGCCGCGGCACGGCGCGGGGCGGTCGTGGGCCGGGCCGGAAGGGGCTGTCGGCGGTTCGCGGGGCCGTCCGCTTCCTGCCGCGGAGGAGGGCCGGTGGCGGGCCGGGCTCGGAGCGGAGGTGCGTCCCGCGGCAGTGAGAGAGCGAGCGCGGTGCGGCTGCCGGCCGTGCGGTGAGTCCCGCGCAGCTCGGCCTGAGCCCTCCTTTGATCCTTACTGAAATGCGTAGGCCTGAGAATGGCCCGGCCGCGGTGGGCCGTGCCCCGCTGCCAGGAGGAGGAGGCAGCGGGGAGAGGCGGCGGGTCGGAGCGCGGCGTGCCCGGGGCTCGGCTCGGCGGGGAGGGGGCAGGATCACGTAGGCAGGAGCAGCTGGAGCCATTTTGCAACTTCAGCCCAAAGTTCTGCCCTATAGGTTTGGGATGCGGGGCTCCAGCTGAGTGTTTCGATCGTGTAGAAAGGCTTTTGTTTTGTTTTGTTTTCTTTAAGAGTTATTCGGTCTCACTCCCATCGTCGCCTTTACTTTCACCGCTCCCCGCCGGGTGTCTGAATGCAGGAAGCCTGGGGACGTCAGTTTGAATGCAGGATGCTCTCCTGTGACAACAAGTCACAGAATCCTTAGAGTTGGAAGGGACCCTTAAAGGCCATTAGTCCAACTCCTCTGCAGTGAACAGGGACACCACAGCTCCATCGGGCTGCCCAGGGCCTGATCCAGCCTCACCTTGACAGTCTCCATGGACGGAGCACCAACAACACCACTAGGCAACCTGTGCCAGTGCCTCACCACCCTCCCTATAAAAGACTTTTTCCTTATATCCAACCTAAATCTACCCTCTTTAAACTTGAAGTCAGCGCTGTGCTGTGCCTTAGTTGCCAGCCTGCCTTCAGTCCCTGCTGCACAGCGAGGCAGAGCCCCACTCCTATCACTCAAGGCATTTTGTTCCTTTGGTCGAACAATCCTAAGGGTTCCGATAGGCAGGCGAGCAGACAGACAGTATCCTTTGATCCATGTGTGCCATTTGCCTAACAAATTGTTATGCAGCTGTGGTGAAATGACTTTTAATGATGTTTATATTTCCGTCTGCTTTAGCCTCTGCAGTTGAGACATCGTTAATCCAGGCTGCAAATTTTATAGCTGGATTAGAGCTTGAAGGCATATTAGGATGTGGATTTGGTCAGCTCCGCTGTTGCAGAGTCAGACTGAAGAGAGGAAGGAAGGCTCTTGTTTCACAGCATCACTGTTTTTCTTCTTTTTCTTCCTTCGGATCGGGTCCTGAAGTGTAGGGTGAAGGTTTCTCTTTGTGGTGCATGGACGGAAAGCCAATGCGCAGGTAAGATGAAAACCACTTGTCTCCTTTTAACCCCCTGTAAATAAATCCTGTGGTGAGTTGGTTTCAAAAGTTCTTAGACCATGAAACCTCTTTTGCTTTTAAAAAAAGATCTGGATAGGAGAGTTAGAGTGTAAGCGTTTATCTTTAGTCCTTGCTTCTGTGTGTTTAGTTCTCAGTATTTACATGACCAGATGTCTGGACGTGGATGTGCTGTTAGGAGAAGAGTTCGGAAGACAATTTATTGTAATTCTACGTTCTCCTCTGCCCCTCCTCGCTTTTACTATATCTTAAAATCCAATATTTAATTACTTTTTTGTTCTGATAACGTGAAATAAACAGTCTGGGAATAAAATTGAACTTGATTTCTGAGAGGCATTACTTTTCTCTTGACTAAAGGAGTTTAGCTCCTCTGATGGGGTAAGGCCTTAGATGAAAAGGAGATTTCCTCTTCTAATTATGGATGCCAGCTGCCTCAGTTCTAATGAGCTGAAGATGCAGCTGAAGTTTAATTCAAGGGAGTGCTTGCTGTGGCTATATCAGAAATGTTCTGTTATAGACAGGAAAAGAATTGTCCCAGTAAATCAGCATGATGACATGTAGGCAAACAGGATTGCTCTGGTTGCTGTTCACTGTTAAATGTGCCAAGGCAAACCTTAACAGCAGCTGTATTTCTGCATGCAAGCTGTGTGGAAGCAGAGTTGCCTGATTATTTTTTTTTTTTTCCAAATGAAGTAGAGAGAACTCATGCAAATAGCCTAGTCTGTTTGTACTCTAAGGTGTTAAAAGTTGGGAAACTTTGCTAGGGGTAATTCTGTAAGCATCAGCACGATGCTTCAATTAAACTAACGAGTAAACCTTGGTCCATGATATGGGCATCTCTGGGGCCATGTTATGTTAATCAGGTTTTTTTGTTTGTTTGTTTGTTTTTTGCCAAGGTGAGCAGTGTGGTTTTGGGGCAGAAATGAGTTAACCTGTGGCTTTTACAGCAAGTTCCTTTTTTCTGAGTGACATGTGAAGGAGCAGACAGCTCTCTTCCATCTCCGAGGCAGAGAATGGCAATGCAGGGATTGTTAGGTGTTCAGTAGGTTTGTGCCTTTGGTTTGCCATGGCAGGAGTTCTGTCTGCCACTCATGCTCGGCTAGACCTAACAGTGAGCAGCAGCACCAGGCTGAAGCAGCAGAGGTTTTCTGTTGTGGTGATGACCCTGGAGCTTCAGGCTTCTTCAACAACTCATAGAGACCAGACCTTCCATTACCTTCTGTTTTCCTTCCCTCTATGGCAAGCCAGTGCAGAGGTGGCTGGCTTGTTTGACGTGCTGACATGGTCATTACTTCTGAGCTAACCCTACTGCCCAGATGCATTAGTTGACATGGTGAGTTGGTACAAAATTTGTACAGCGTTCAGGGGATGGGGAGGGTGATTTGAATGGGGAAAAAAACTGCAGCTATTCTTGTCAAGATTGAACATCAGAGCATTCTCTCCGTCACAAGCAGGATTTGTTTTGCATTAGTAATGAAGCGATAGTTGGGGCAGGCTGTTCTCCCTGTCAGAGAGCAGCAAGAGAAAACTTCTGCTGAAGGCATCAGCGAGGCAGAGGAGTCCTTACTGATGAAGGGTGTATTTCTACAGCACCAAAGTAAGGAGGGCAGAGCAGATATGGTGGCTGGGGGTCAGCCAGGAGTCCTGTCATCATCAGGCAAGTCTGTAGCTATGCAGAAGGGCTGGAGTTAGGCCAGGAAGCCAACATAGCAAGTTGGTGGTCAGGCAGTGATGTGCTTGTACATAGCTCAAGCAATGCATGAGGACTGGAGCAGCTCTCAAGCGTGGGCACGGCTCTTGCCCAAGACAAGCTACAAAAAGGTTGGGAGGAAGACTCCTGCAATGAGCTTCCTGTGCTTTGGCGTCCTCATTCCTGGTGAAACCGAGAGTTCCCTGAGTTTGGTGAGTGAAAGTGTAACTAAGTGTAAATAGGGACTTGTGTACCAGATCGCTGCTGCTCTCACTTTAAGCAATATAAAATAATAATGCAGTCAGGTTTATGTGCTTGTTTGCTTAACACTACCTCTGTGAGAGTGTCTTCCTAAGCCTTGCTGTCTCTGTAAGAAAAGGAGTTAGTGGTATTTTTTACTAGTTATTAGATCTTTAATTCACAGAGTTTGAGTGGCTGCAATAAAGCATTTCCATCTACTTGGTCTATTACAACATCACCAACTAAATCAAAGGGCTTTGTCCTAGTAATTCTGTATGACTTTATGCATAAAATTCCAAGCTAGGCATTGACAGAAATCGCTACTGGTTTGATTTATCATCTCCGTTTGCTACTAAAATCCTTTGCTCCTGAAATCCATTAGAGCAATGAGTGATTTCAGCTGATGCTTTCAGCCTGTTTCATGTTCTGTTCTGTGGGCCATAGGTCCCATCAGTTATTTTCTTCTGCATTACATTAAAGCTTTCTTGTGATCTCATCCTCAAACATACATAATGTGAAACCAAAAAAACACAGGCCACCCTGACCTTAAAGTTAAGGAGCTCAATGATGTTTTCTGGAAGTGTTTTTGTTAGATGTTATTCTTGGGTGTATTTTGAACTTTTTCACTGCGGCTGTGTTGCTGTAAGGGTGAAAGTCTCACGGGTGCCCATGTTAACAGCTGAAGTTTTGGGAAGTGGCGTAGATGAATAAAATGGAGGTAGCACTGCCTGTATATCTCGCTGACTTAGTGTGGCAGACTGCCTGTGTTTCCATTTGTACTTCTCAGCAGTGTGCTACGGAAGCCCATCCTTTGTCAGCCCTTTCTTAATCGCATTGTGTTTGCTGGTTTCCTCAGCCCTGCATTTTGATGGAGGCTAATCCCAGCGTATCTGCGTGGCTGAGCAGCAATTTTTTATCCTCACACACACATTTCCTCCTCAATCCTCAGCTCTTTTTAATCGCCCCGTGTATTTGGGAGCAGCTCTTAGCTGTGAATGTGCTGGGGGGGTGGCAGCTAGCCTAGCATGTGAGAATCAAATGCTGCTTTCTGTCTTTCGCACCTCTAAGCTACTGAGTCACCGTTTCATTCTCTATGCATATATATGCATAATGCAGTGAAATTATTATCCTTGTGGAGACACAGGCTGTCGGTGTCCTTTTAATTCTATGCCTGTGCACAGCAGCAGCCCACGGTGCTTAACGTCAAGCACCTGTCTTGATCCAGTATGGAAATTCCCAAGCCCATTGATCACTTGCTTCTGCATTACCTAGAGGTAAGTTATGGATGAATCAGGAATGCTAATTTGCTTATTATTCTTTTTTTTTTCTTCTATCCATTCAGTTCTCTTTAATCATTAACCAGCCCCCCCTTTTTTTTTTTCTTGAAAAAGGGAGGCTGGATACAATAGGCACGCTCAGACAAATGAGGATGAGAACAGTGCAGGAATGCCTGAGGTTCTTAATAACCAGCTTCCTATTCAATTAAAGATCTCAACAGTCAGATTTGGGGAGAAAAGCCTATTCTAGCCTGGCAAGGAATGGGGAACTGCTGCCCAAATTGGGCCTTAGCAGAATGAAATCCATGCGGCATGCTTAGTGCAAGCTGGCCTCTATACTGAGGGGCTTTGTCACTGCCTTCCTCCATCCCTTGGTAGAGGGATTAAATTACTTACTGTCTGCCTTTAGCTGCTTGGGACTACTAGAGAAAGCCAGTTTGGTAAATTAATCTCTAGCTAAGGTTTCTTGAGATTTTTGTGAGGGTACCATTGAACTTAGTTCACTTTTGATGCTGTGAGGAGTGTTTACCTGCATTGTTTGGGAGGAACTTTGCAGAGCTTTGGAACACCGCAAAGTGAATTTGGGTTGTGAGGGACATGAGTGGGTGGAGGGGAGAGGGAGGCAGTGTAACAGCAGGAGGATTTGTCAGAGGTGTCAAGAAAGGAGAACAGCAATGGATATATTAAAAATATATATTTAAAAAGCAAACAAGCAAGGCATTTCAAGTGCAGAGGCTGAACAGGAGCAAAGTGCAGAGGGAGACCCAGCTGGATCTGTGTAATAGAGATAGGAGGGAGAGGTAATGCTCTGAAGCAGCTGAATGCCATGATCAAGGAGAGAGTGTGGGGGGAATGGGAAAACAGTCTGGGATGCAAGTAATTGGAACTGCTGCAAAGAGGCTGGTTTGCTTGTGGTTAGAAAATGCACTTGACATAATAATGAGAGGAATGGATGTGAGTTATTTTTTTAATTCCTCCAAGCATGCTGCAGAAGGCACTGAGCAATGGCAAAGCTGTCTCTTCTTTTGCTCTTAATATGAGCAGAGTGAGGTAGTGATAACTCCCAAATGCCAGTGTACCAGAGGAGCTAGGAATGGATGTATTGGCTCTCTCAATCTATCTCTGACAGCCAGCATGCTCACTGATTATTCATAGCTGTCAGCAGTCTGATTCTGCACACAGCGTGTTTCATTTGCTCCCAGTGAAGGGTTTTTCTTTTCTTCTAAGTGGAAGAGGCAATAGTTTCCTCTGTTTGCTTTGTTTTCAGAGCAGTTGATAGGTCAGTGGTGCTGTTGCATCCTTTTCAGTAATTGCAAACATGGCATGAGGCAAAGATTCAGATAACTGAGATGTCATTTTATGTGTTCAGAGCACTATTTTCTTCCTGTTTTGGTGGGATGGTGGTTGTGAATACTTCTGGTACTTCCAATATTGATTGGTCTCTTAATCCTGCTTGCATGGTATCTTGCAGGCCATCTGAAGCTACTGAAATCCTCAGGACAGCTGGGTGTGTTCAGGTATCAGTGATGGACACCCCTATTGAATATGGAGGCAGAAGAATAGAGAAGTCTGGTTAAATTGTGTGAGTGCTGTTATTTGCAGCAGAAATCAGTCTCCAGCACTGACAAAACTCAAGTGACAGTGGACAAATTGGATAACCTTCTTTGCTTTGAGTCTGTGAAATGGTGATAATATTTCTCTCCCATGTGAGGCAGTCATTAGGTTCAGTTAATAAATGTGTTCATGTGGTTGGACGTCACTGGCGTGTCATAAAAAGCATATAAAAACAGATATAAGCCTGTTGCAAGCTGGCATTTGTTTATTTCTAAGTAGACTTTGGTTTGAGACTGGTTCTTTTTGCACGTGATCATGTTATATTCACGTTCTCACGTGGAGCTCTGGGCAGCTTTTGCCTGTGTGATTGGTGTGAAGCGTTGAGCTTTGGCTGACAGCTGGTGATAGATGAGTTGTTGACCATCTTCTTTTTGGCTTCCCCTGCTGCAGGTGTACCAGTACTCGACCAGGGGAGACCGGAATGGATGTGACCAGCCGATGCACACTGGGAGATCCTAACAAGCTGCCGGAAGGGGTGCCGCAGCCTGCTCGTATGCCTTACATCTCCGACAAGCACCCTCGACAGACTCTGGAAGTCATCAATCTTCTCCGGAAGCACCGGGAGTTGTGTGATGTGGTGTTGGTGGTAGGTGCCAAGAAGATCTATGCTCACAGGGTGATCCTGTCCGCCTGCAGCCCGTACTTCCGAGCCATGTTCACTGGGGAGCTGGCAGAGAGTCGGCAGACAGAAGTGGTGATCAGAGACATCGACGAAAGGGCCATGGAACTGCTCATTGACTTTGCCTACACCTCTCAGATTACTGTGGAAGAGGGAAATGTCCAGACCTTGTTGCCAGCTGCTTGCCTTCTCCAGCTGGCTGAGATCCAGGAGGCCTGCTGCGAGTTCCTTAAGAGACAGTTGGACCCTTCCAATTGCCTGGGCATCCGAGCTTTTGCTGACACTCACTCGTGCCGTGAACTGCTGAGGATTGCTGACAAGTTCACCCAGCATAATTTCCAGGAGGTAAGAAGCCCCTCTGCTGGAACTGTGGTTTTAGAGAGCTGTGATTTACTCCTTGTTTGTGCTTCTTCCCAAACCCTGCCCTCAGTTCTGCTGATAGAAGTGGATACTGGCCTCAGCAGGGGGAAGAGAGCACCTGCAGGGCAGTGTTTCACTGTTGTTCTGTACGTCATAAGTATGATCCGTGGCATTTCCTCTCTTGGAGTTCTATGTTGAATGCTGCATGGAAGGCAGGGCCACATACATAGGTGGTGTTTGATGTTGCTGCTGATGTAGCTGCACTAGGGTGTGCTGCAAGATACATGATTGGAGGGGAGAAGAGTCTTAACGTGAGGGTAATATATGAGAAATAGAAATGTGCTGAGTGTAGGGCTTGAGAGTATGAGGGAGCTGGGTGAGCATATGGCTGTGTCAAGTGAAGTCTTCAACTCCCTTGCTATAGCAGAACCAGGGTTTTGCATTTATTATTCAGCAGAAGCTGGATAGCTAGATGTGGAATGGAATTCACATGTGGTATTTTGTGTCTGACCTTCATATGCTCAAGTCTCTTCTTGCATTTCAAATTCTCCATAGAAAATTTTTTGGGGGTTCCAGCTGCCAACTCAGGGAAGGATCAGCGTAATAAAGGATTCCCCAAGCAATGCCCAGAGAAGAGTGGGTCTTTACTTCATTCTTACACTTGGATGCTGAAGAGAGCCCAACATTTTTAAGTGGTATCTTTCCCGAGCCCTTGTTGGAAGGGTAAGAATTTAAGTGTGTTGGAAGCAGCTGCTTTCTGGGGGTGCTCTCAGCATGAAGATGTGTTCCCCTGGCAGGGGGATTTTTCTTGCCATTTCTACAAACTGCTCTTCTATCCACTGGGACAGGTAGCCTGCTGCAGAGAGACTTCTTTTTTCCACCTGCTCCACAGGTGGATCTTTTCCAAAGGCAGTGGTAACTCCAGGATGGAGTAGTGTTTCTAATTCAGATTCCCCAGAGAAGTGGCTGTGTGTGATTGATTGCAGCCTGCACACTCTTGTTTTCCCTGCAGGAAGCAGATTGGAACTGTATTAATTTCAGTCAGGTAGTACTTAAGAAAATTATGAGGAGGAGCAAACATGGTTGAACTTGACTGTTGGACACCTTGAAGACAATACTTGATATCTGACTGTAGACACATTACATCAGCTTACTCCAAAAGTTGCAATTAAATATGACTTCCCTAGCCATGAAGACAGAATTTGCTACTTAAGAGCTTGTTATTTTCTAGAGCTCGGTGATTTCCCAAAAGCTCCACATTCAAAGCCCTACATTTAGCTGTGTCATGTGCTGTGTGCTTGCTCTGCATTTCTTTTGCTCTGCAGTTCTTCCTTGGGAGCAGGATGGTAACCAGATGGTTGTTTATTTTCAGTACTTGGTGGTTTTAATGGTTAGAGCTGCGTTCTTCTTCTTATTACACGAGTAGGGCATGCTTACAAGCCTCTAAATAACTTCTTGACAGCATAAGGCTTTTGTATCTGAATGTTTTGGTGTTAATGCTTGCAGCTGGCTGTCGAGAGCTGCCTGCCGTGGGGTTCTTTTCTTTCACAGTCCCTCAGAGATGGCTTTCTGTGTTAGTTTTCCCTGTGAAAGCACACACAGGCAGGAGTTTTGGTCTCTAGAAAACACTGTTCTTTAAAGATGATGCAAATTATAATTGAGTTAACTAAACCACATAGATTAGCTCGCTGTTTGTTTGGCCTGGACAGTTTTTGATGTCCCACTCAGTATCCAAGAGTTCAGCTGCTCTTCATCCCTAATGATCTCCCATTTTCTTTCTGCTCTTTCTCTGCAGCCAGCATTAATGGTGCTCCTTGCTGGGCCCGTGTTCTGCACTGCCATTACTTTCCATCCAGAGAGTGTTGATCCCTTACCAAAGGGAGGGAGATAACTGATAGAAAACTTGTACTCCTATATATGGTCACTGTTCCTCCAAACTGACAAGGAGAAACATGAGATGGGAATTTCCTGAATGGCGGTGTCAAATATTAAGCACTAGGCATCAAGCCAGCCCTTGCAGTTACTTCAAATGCAGAGTGAATTGTTTCGTGTCCTCTGCTGTGCTAACCTCTACTTCTACTAATTGTTATATGTATATATTGCTGCATTACATCGTCAGCTTCTTGGTAGAATGTTTTCCCAAGTTTTTTATTCCCCTTAATTCAATTTCTTGCCTCGAACCCCCAGTGAATCTTGTGTGTGAGATGTGAAATGACTCTACAAGAGCAGCCTTTGTATTTTTGTTTGCTCTTTCACACCTTTTGTGAAGGGGAAAAAATCCACGTAGGGATGAACAAGCTGTACTTCATAGCAATAGACTCAGGTGCTTACTCTATCTGCAGATGTAATTGTTAACATAAGAGAGTTATTATGAGCACAGGATCTTGTTTCATTTATGCTGCAGACCATCGCATAAGTCAAGTAGTTCTAACGTGGTTGTAAATTACATGGACAAGCTGATATTCAGTTGTTTTATGCCAGTGAACCGCTCAGATGACTGGCTGTGGGCTGGGAGTGCTTGTGGGGAAGCTGAACTGTTGGGTGTCAAGGAAAACTCTTTGCTAGCAGCCTGCAGCCCCGGCACAGCATGTGTGTTCAGGGCTGTGTGCTGGGAGCAGCTGAGGCCTCCTGAGGAGCTGGTCACTATCTTGGGTGCTGAAGGAATTAACTGTGCTGGCAGACTGTCAGCAGCTTGAGTTTCACAAGGGATGAATCCTTAGGGTCTTCAGAAGCTCTGATTCCCTCTTAAGAGCCTTTGGACCTGCACGTGCTCTGTGCAGATATTGAAAACAAGTGAGAGACGATCAAATCTCTTTGTCCAGAAATATTTCTGTTCTGCCACAAACAGGCATTCAGCTCTTGGTAGCTTGTCTCTGAGACTTCTTATTTGTTTTCTGCTTTGGATTGCTCGAGGATAGATCCTCTCTGTTCTGGTGTTGCTTTATAAGTTACACAGGGCAAGCAGGAAGGCCGATTGTAAAGGCATCTTATTCTTTCTGAGTTCTGAAACCTGACTAATGTGTTCTGTGACTTAACCCTTTAAAACTATCTTATGGAAGCCCTTTTATGCATCTTTGGTGTGTTTTTGGGTCTGCATTTTGCAGCCGGCCTGTCATGTGTTGATGGCAAGATAGTGATGGGTAGCTGAGCCTTTGCTGGATCAGTCCATTGGGCTCTACTTCAAGTGGGCCACCTGTTCTTTAGAGTTGCACTGAGAAACAGAAGTAGGAATGGTTCTGGTGCTTTGGCCACTATCCTCATTTGTGTTTTCTATTTAACTAGGTAATGGAGAGCGAGGAGTTCATGCTGCTTCCTGCCAATCAGCTCATAGACATCATATCCAGCGACGAGTTAAATGTTCGCAGTGAAGAGCAGGTGTTCAACGCAGTGATGGCCTGGGTGAAATACAGCATTCAGGAAAGAAGACCCCAGCTGCCACAGGTAATGAGCACAGTGACATTCAAGGCTCCTTTTATTCAAGAGAAGAGCAATGAGGACTGATAGGGCAAAGCAACAGCAGTGTGACGGTTCTGAGTGCATGCAGCTCCACAATAGTTTTGTCTTCCTCCTGTGTTAGAAGGTTGGCATTTTCCTTTCATCTAGGCTGAAAGATGCAGCCACCAGACCTTTTAATAGGGGCTTTATTGATTTGTTTCCAGGTAGGGCTTGCCAAACGAGATTGTTTCAGTGGTCTATCCAGGCACGGTGGCCTGGATTGCTTTGAGTGTTGTGCAAAAAACAGTGGGTAAGGAAAAGGTCGTCTTCATTTGAGGTGCATCTTTAAGCTCTGCTGTTTGATTTATGCCTCAGCCATCAGGATCTTATACTGGAGCTTGTCAGAATGGTTTTGTTGAAATGCAGTGTTTCATCTGAGCCAAGCCATTTCACAGAGACGCACCCATTCTGACAAAGCTGTCAGCTGGAAAGCCTCTGAAGTCTCAGGCTTTTTGATCAAAAGGAGTGAGTGCCTACCCTGGTGTTTCTTTGGAAATACAGATATTTAATGCAACTATACTTAGGAAAGCTTCTGAAAATTGTTTAAAAGCAAAGAAAGAAATGCTGCTGTCCTCAAGTTAGCTCTTATTAATGGCATTAAAACTGTACGTCTTTTCAGGTCCCTCTGTCTGTACCTGCTTGTGCTTGTTATCATTATTAGCCAGTATTTTTTTTTTCCTCAATTTCTTTGTTTGGGGATTTACAGCTTATCCACAGTGTTGTTCTGTTCTCTGTTGCAGGTCCTGCAGCACGTTCGCCTGCCACTGCTGAGTCCCAAGTTTCTTGTGGGCACAGTGGGCTCTGATCCTCTTATTAAGAGCGATGAGGAATGCCGGTAAATCTCCTTGCTGAACTACAGAATGGGATTTCATTCTATTAGGGAGCCTTACTGACATCTATTCTCTGAAACTGCTTGTTTGTTAGTAGTGAACAGGCAATATCTCTCCCAACTTGTTCTTTTGCAACAAGGAGAAGAAATGCAAGACGACATGTTGTTTCTTTGCATAATATTGGTAGCATGCCCAAGAGGAATTCCATTTTTTTAAAGGTTTTTTCTTCTGTGTAATAGCAGAACTGAAGTACACAGGTTGACTTTTGGCTTAAAAAAAAAAATAAATTCCTTTGTATGGCATTTGTACATAATCTCAATATGACTTAAAGTAATTGCTGTATGCAAAACATGATAGCTGAACAGATTCCAGATGTAGTCTCTTTTCTGCATTGCTACTGGAAGGAAGCTGCCACTTCCTTCTCTTGTGACATAAGTCACACCTTTCTAATTCTTGTGGAGTTGTGCATTATCTGTTTTTCCGTATTGTGCCTAATGTGGAAAAGTTCAGGGGTTAGAATGAACTGTTTTTCTCCTGAGTAAGCACTCATACTGACCGAATTCCACACTCGTAGAGGGGAGGAGGACTTTTTTTCTGTTTTATTTTATTCAAGGGCTTGGTATGTTAGGATTAGACCAGATGATAAGTCATTAATGGATGGACAGTGCGAGCTGGCCAGAGCTCAAGGAGAAAATATTCATCAGAAAGATACTATCTCCATCTATTGGTCATGCGGGTATTATGTATTTATGTGCTTTTCAATTCCTGTTTTGTTCTAAGGTAAAACCATTGATGCTTAAGTTTTAACTTGAAGCAAACTGGTTTTTTTTGTTTGTTTTTTAATACAATTAGCCCAGGAAATCTCATCACCATTTTTTAATCAGTCATTGCAGCTAGTAGTATCTGATACTAACACCAGTCAAAAATTGATGCAGGGCTATTGCTGTCACTAAGTGACTTGTAAAAAAAGCTGATGAGGATTTTGGTGACAGTGCATGTTTTAACTGCATCTATTCATGCACTTCTGTGATTTGCAAATAACTGAAGTGCCCAACGCTTGCTGACTGCTCTTCCCGCCAGTTTTGATTCATGCTTTTTCCTTTGGCCAGTTTCAGGTGAACTTTGGGAATTAATATTTTCCTGTCTTGTGCAGGGATTTAGTGGATGAAGCCAAAAACTATCTCCTGCTACCCCAAGAGCGACCGCTGATGCAAGGACCGCGGACTAGACCACGCAAACCCATCCGTTGTGGAGAGGTGCTCTTTGCAGGTGTGTACAGCTCCTGCTGGCTCAAATCAGGAGATTCAAATCCGTTTTGCTGGTGATAGCTTTCTTTTAAACAGAATCTTGTCACCATCTTTCTGAATGACCTGTGTGTTAATATTTGGAGATTTGAGTCAGCTTGCACTTCCTCGCTTGTGTCATCTCTTTGGTGGTGACATTACTTCCAAGTGTAGGTTAATCCACTTGAAAATCAAATTCTGCCTTCTAATTGTAATCCTCAGAACGATGAACTCTGAGAGATGAAGCTGCTGGGTTAAGGCTGCTGAAGTGCAGAGGGGTTATTTGTAGCAGGCACGTGTGCACTATGTGTGCTTGGTGTGTTACTGTGACACTATTTCTTGCCTTTGGTCCCAACAGTGGGGGGCTGGTGTAGCGGGGATGCAATCTCCAGCGTGGAACGGTATGACCCTCAAACCAATGAGTGGAGGATGGTGGCTTCCATGAGCAAAAGGCGCTGTGGCGTTGGTGTCAGTGTTCTGGATGACCTTCTGTATGCAGTGGGAGGCCACGATGGTTCCTCTTACCTGAACAGTGTAGAAAGGTAGGTGTCTGTAAGGCCAACATGCTGAATACTAACTCTGAGTTCTTAAACTTGAGTGCTAGCTTCATCTTGCCAGCTATTTTTTGTTTGTTTGCTTTCCTGCTGGAAACCTGAAATTTTTATTACTTGCTATCTACTTCAATATGTACTGGTTTACTGCTAAACTAGGTCTTCACACATCCAGCTTGTGTATTTACTCTTGGTTTAATGGAACAAGACATAGCCTTTGGTAAAAGGAAGAATCATGAAGAGGTGGGTCTGGTTGTAATTGGTGGGAGGAGCGTGATCCTGGTTAGCTTTGCAGTTGCTGGTTTGTTTCTAGTGTTGTTAAGGAAGGTTGAGGTTGCAGTATGCATTACTTCAACAGTGAATGAAAGCATCCTGGAATTTCATGCAGAGTGGTAACTACAGAATTAAGGAACCTTGCGAACACATAGAAGAAGGAAAATAGGTCACTTTTAGGCCTGTGAAAGACACAAGTTGAACAAGCTGTGTCAAGCTTCATGTCTCTGGGAGCAGTATACTGCAGTCTGCCTGCCTCCAAGCCACATGACTCATGCACTCCAAATCTCTTCCTTATACCAAATCCAATGAGCTATACAAATATTCCTCCCCTTCTTTTCGCTGTCTCTTTGCATACTGCCAGCTTCTCACATCGTGATCTTATGTCTCCCACATCTTGCACTTTTCTGCTACACACCGTTGTTCCTCACCGCTGGGTTTCCAAGTTGGTCTGGTTCCCTTGTCTTTATCAATAAGAGCAGGTCCAGTGCTGGCTTGTATGAACTGCAGAGTATATCCAGCAGAGTAACTGACTGCTGCTCTTTGCACAGATGCAAGTTAGCACATGTCAGCCAGTCCCTGGTAATGTGCTTTCTTACAGACCTCAACCTTTGATCTTCAGTTTGAATCATCTGCGCTGCAGTTTGAACATCCCTGCAATTACATGTGCTGCGTGCATTGCATAATTTTGGAATTATTTATTCAACTTATAAATAGCTGTGTTGCAGTTCAGACTCAAGATGGGTGAATTTTACTGCTTCAGTAGTTTCCAAACTTGGGAAAGTCTGAAGCATAGATAAGCAACTTGCGCTGTTTTTCTAGGTACGATCCAAAGACCAATCAATGGAGCAGTGATGTGGCCCCCACCAGCACCTGCAGGACCAGTGTTGGAGTAGCAGTTCTTGGGGGCTACCTTTATGCAGTGGGTGGCCAGGATGGTGTCTCTTGCCTCAACATTGTGGAAAGGTACCTAAGTTTTTTTTTTAAAAAGGGAGCGTGGGAGGAGGTAAACAAACAAATCCCATGGGGATTTTTCTTTGGGGAGAATAAGATCAGCCTTTCTACCCCCCTTTGTGAGGATGTTGACATTTTTGTGACCTTTGATGTTTATTCTTCTGCCAGGTATGATCCCAAAGAAAACAAATGGACTCGAGTGGCTTCCATGAGCACCAGGCGCCTGGGAGTTGCAGTGGCTGTTTTAGGGGGCTTTCTCTATGCAGTGGGAGGCTCTGATGGAACTTCTCCTCTCAATACAGGTATGCCTTTTGCTGTCCCTCATTGCTGTCAGCATTTGTCATGATCCTGTTTGTTGTCTTTAAGATTTCCAGGTGGCAGCTGAATATCTTGGTGACCGGTTAGCTGCATGTTTTCTCCTTCAGATGGGATTTTGCTATATGGTAATTCATATATGGTAAATATATGAGCCTGTGAACCACCGTTACCTCTGTGTGTGTGTGCACATATAGTTTTTCCCATTAGATGCTGCATTTGGCATGGTAACGGTGATAATTTTGTAGCCAACTCATTCTTGAGTGAAGGTGCTTTATCTGATTGATTGACTGCATAGGATTGGAGACGGGAGAGAAAAGCAAGCTCTCTATGGAAGGAAAGCATGAGGGTGACAGAACAAACCAGTACATCCTGTTTTTCTTGTGTGGACACTACACTAGCTTTACAGATTGAGCAATGCTTTGGGTGCTGATATAAAAGTGCTGATCTCCACTGCTTGCCAACCCTGTTGCCAACAATATATCATTTCTTTTGCAGTGGAACGATACAATCCTCAGGAGAACCGCTGGCATACGATTGCACCCATGGGGACGAGGAGGAAGCACCTGGGCTGTGCAGTGTACCAAGACATGATATATGCTGTGGGAGGCAGAGATGATACGACGGAGCTTAGTAGTGCTGAGAGATACAACCCTCGAACCAACCAGTGGTCTCCTGTCGTGGCCATGACATCCAGACGGAGCGGAGTGAGTTTGGCTTGGTTTGCTTGCTTGTGCCATCTGTCATCACATGGTGAGAGTAGGGGATAGAGCATTATCGAGTGAGATTTCCCTCTTGCTTCATCTGTATCTTTCAGAATAGAAACAGAGAGGTAAATGTTTGCCCAGGGGTTATGCTCTTTAGTAAGACTCAAGAATGAAGTGGTAGTTGTGTCGTGGCGGGGTATCCAGTTGTTTGAAGGTCTTTTTAAAATAGTTTTGGTCCTTTACACTGAGGAGATAAACTGAGGAGGTCTTCAGCTTCTTCTGAAGTATACGTATTATTTGGTGTGTGACAGGACTAGAGAACAGTATTAAAATCAGCACCTGGGTCTCATCTTGCACTTTGGGTGAGTTAGGAGGTGAACAATCCTACCTGCACAGAAAAAAAGAGCTGGAAAACTGAGCAATTGTATGTAGATACTGACTTAGAGCTAAGCGCTTTCGCTGCCTAGATGTGTGTGGGAATGGGGTTTTGGGGCTTTCAGATGTTGCCTCTCTTCCACAAATCCTGTGGGTATGGAGAGTGACAGCATGTTTTCATCAACTCCTAATCTTCCTGCTTTCTGTAGGCATGCGAACAAAAGATTAACATGGCGTTTTAAGTAGTCATCATGTTTAGGCAGATGCAAATGTTATGAATATTTATCATTGGATACTGAATTACATAGTAAAGCAAAGCGTGGATTCATTCTGTCTGCATGTTAGTATTTCAGTGTGTGCTGAGGCAAGTGTGAATCATGACTTGAGTAAGTACTGGTTTGGGGAGCAGAAAATATGTATTTCCTTCCTCAAAACATTTAGTACACTGTTCAACACTGTCCTTTCCAGCTACCAATTAAGCATTGACTCTTCATGAATTCCTTCTATATTTGCACTATTTAGAAGTTCCTCAACAGATGCAGCTGCATGTGCAGCCCTCCTAAGTTGTGCTAAGTACTTCAAAACCAAAACGAGGACTGTATTACATTGTGTTCTTATCTTTGCTGCTATACTGCTTTGTTTTCACTGGAAGTGATCTGCCTAAACCACGGAACTGTTTGAGGTTTTTGTGATTCTTGTGCTTCTGCAGAAGGATAAAGTGGAAAGGCTGGAGGCCAAGCTGTTTACAGATGTTCCAAGCCACAGCCTGGGAGGAGCAGGCTGTGTAGGCTTACATATGGTTCTCCTCCAATTTAAGCTGTCGTTGCAGGCTATAGGTTGCTAGATGTTCTGGAGTACATGTTGTAATTTGTCAGGGAGTCTCATCTAGGATGTGATATGCATTGGCTGATAAAGACTTATGCTCTTATATATCTACAAACATTGAAGCAGTTCTAGCTCTTGTTGTCACCTTGGGAACCTTGTGCTTTTACTGTGATATCTCTGCTTTGGGATACATATTTAGCTTTTCATGTCTTGTTATTTGAAACCCAGCACTTGGATTGTGTGGCATCTTATACCAGTCTGCCCTAGTTAAATGCATTTTAGGCTGTTTTGTACTATTTTTTTCCCCTAGAAAATTCCATTGCTGCTTGCCTTTCTCCAAACACAGCTGCTAAACCTTTTATTAATATTTATTTCAATCGTTATTTTCAGGGTATGCATTCAGGACATGCCTTTTCAGCAAGTAGCTAAGCAGCTGCTGTGATGGTTGTTTTACAGGTTGGCCTTGCAGTGGTGAATGGACAGCTAATGGCCGTGGGAGGGTTTGATGGCACAACGTACTTGAAGACCATTGAGGTGTTTGATCCAGATGCTAACACATGGAGGTAACTGATAAGTTTGTGAAACAGTCAAATAGCAATCTCCAGATGTAGCTGCTGTCACCCAGCTGGAGCTGTCCCAGCAAATTAGAACCGTGACATACAGCTTGGTGCAGCAGCCAGCATAAATTTCATGCTGTAAATTCCTGGTTAGCATGAAGCTGTATGAGGATCATATTTTGAAAAATTGGGAAGGCACAGGAACTTTGTGTGGCTGCCTTCCCTGTTATGCTTGAAACACGGTCCAGTACTGAGCAGTAATTATACAAAAAGGTGCTCACTAACCTTTGTGGCGGGCTTGTATTGCTACAGCACTGCTGCCTGACTGCAAAAGCTTCCATGACAAGATGACTTCTCTGTTTAAATATGAATGGAAGTTGAAGCTGGTAATACGGCAGTGTTATTTACCTACTGCACTCCCATACCCACAACTAGTTGAGAAACACTTTCTTGCAAGTTTCTGCTTGGAAAACCAAGTCTAGGTAGGTTTTTGAGATCCATAGAAAATAGGCAACGTAGCAAGCATGTCAGGTAGCAAGGACAATGTTATTCCAAAACATAATTTGTTTTAAGTGCCACTTCTGAACTTGAAAGTGTGAGCCGCGCTGAAAGACATCTGCCCCTTGTGGTTATTTTGGGCTGAGTCTGCTCTGCTTCTTGGTAAAAACGAGCTGACCCTTAGAAGGTATAGAAACCCTTAGTCACGGTGTAGAAACCATCCTACTTATTTTTGGCTTTCAAGCTGAGGTTCTGAGCTCCACATTTTTCTGGAGGAGTTGAGGCAGAACACTTTGAGCATATGATGTTCTTCTCCCTTTAAGTCTGTAAGACAGCAATTAGAAGATTTTCACCTGATTCACAAGACAAAACACAAAATTGATTGAAAATGTATACTGAGAAGTTGTATTTCTTACTACTTTTCTAGTCTTAAATACACTTAAAAGCAATTATATTTATTCCCAAATCTAATTAAAGTTTCGGTCTTGCTGCTTTAGTAATCTGGAGGGAGTAGAGGGGAATAGAAAGCAATTAATGTCCTTATTCCTTTTGGCTTAGTAATACTAGTAGATTAATCCCTTTCTGCTGAGACGAGCTGTCATAAGGAGCAATGGGGGATCTTCCTCTTGTCTGCTGAGCCATGGTCAATGCTTGTAGAACTGCTGAGAAAACCCACCTGAGCAGAGAGGAATATGTACTTTCTCTTAGCTGAATGGTTTTCAGGTACTTTCAATGGCTGTAAGGATAACAAGATATTTTGAGCTAGGAGTTACTGTCTAGGCCAGCATTTGCAGGACTTTTGGAGGTTGTTCAAGGTATTAGCTGTGAGTCCCCCCCACTTAATTCAGAACAGCTGATCATCATCTGGTCTTCCTTTTCTTTGTTGAACTTTTTGTTCTGTGAAGGGCTTTTTTTGTGTAGCTCGACTAAGAAATTCTTCTGATATCACTTAATCCCAGATTGCATTGGTAAGAGTTGTTTGAAGAACTTGCTTCTCCTGTTTCTGCCAGCAGACTTCAGCAGCACAGAGAATAATGCAGCTGAAGTGAGTAGGATCCTGGAGTCTGTAGGGATCAGATTTCCATATGAAACGCAGGCACCATTTCAGTAACATATCTTAGAGAAGCAGATGGTGCTTGGGATGTTACATCTTGGTTGGATCAGCTGAATGTATAGGGTATTAGAAATGTAAAAAAAATAAAATAAAAATTAGTTGGTTTGCAAACAGCAAATCTGTCCTTGATCCAGTGCTATCCAAAATGTAGCCCAAGGTCAGCTACAGCCTGTGAAATTTTTTCTTTTTTTTTTTTTTTTATCTTTCCCACAGCCAGGCAGGGAGAAAGCAAGTGATTACTGAAATAACAGGAAACCATCGTGGCCAAACAAGCAGTTTCTGTTTAGAGGGAGAAAGGCATGAGCAAATACAAGTGTTTACCTTGGAAGTGTGTAAAAAGGCAGCTGCTCTGCTTCTAACTTGTCACAGCCCACTTTAAGCAGGTGTTAACAGTGGTGTAACTATGCTTACAAAGGCCGATCTGATCATTCCCATGGTGGTTTAATGAGAGAGCTGGAGCAGTGTGCCTACTGAAGCCTTCTCTTTGCAGGTTGTACGGAGGGATGAACTACCGGCGGCTGGGAGGAGGAGTGGGTGTTATCAAAATGACACACTGTGAATCCCATATATGGTAAGCACCAAGAGAGAGGGAGACCCCCTGGTTCCCATTCCTAGATCAACTGAAGAGACTTGCTGACACTGGACTCTTTGTGGCTCTCGTATGGACGGTCTAGACCTCATGTAACTCTTTGCCATTGGTTCTTTCTATGGAATTATAAAATGACTTCTGTGAGAGTGTGCCCAATGGGAGACCACACTGTCAGACTCCAGGGAATCACTGGACAAAAGTAGAAGTGTTGCTTATGTCCATATTTTTTTCTAACTAGTCTACAATTTTGAATAAACCAAACTGTACAATTCACCATAGCATAAACAATGCCAATGCACAGACTACAAGCTACAATGGGAATCTGGCAAGGAGAGTTTCCTGCCTTTCCCTCCTGCTGTGAGCATTGGATGTGGCAGCTGTGTTGGTGGGTGAAAGAGGAAGGTGATAGAGAAAACATTGCTTTTGCCTTATTTACAGAGAGCTTCAAAAAAGATAAAAGTACTTGACCTGCAAGGTGCCACCTTTGCACAGAAGCTTTCCTGTGCACAGAGTATATTTATTTTTTCATTTAATTTGTATCACGTCTTTTCTTTGTATTGCTCACAGCGCTGATTCCAGCTTTTTATATACATATATATGTGTGCATATATATGTATTTTATATATATGTATATGTGCGTGTGCAATTTGAGTTTTAATGAGTTGATGGTTAGGGCAGGGCTATGTCCTGCAAGCTGTTGTGGTTCCAACCCTGGTGGTATGTAGTTGGGTCTCAGAGTATGGAAGAGCTATGGGTACCCTGGGTGTCTTTTCAGTCTTGCTGGAGGCAAGAAGTAGAACTGGAACTCTCATCTATCGACTGAATCAGTGAAAGGCCATAAAAGAAGGTGAGAGTGAAAAGGATTTCATATGATGCCTTTTTACTGTACAGTGTATGGTACAAAAGTTCAGCTTTTGTCCCTCACCTCCTCTGTATATGAACCTAGAAACAACTAGCTGTTGCTTATTTAAATAAGTCTCATATATTCAGCAGGCAACCACTTCTTCTGTGAAGCTGGTAGGCAGGTATCATCTGTTAATTCTGGCTAGCCTAGATCAACACTCACCTCTCAGGTTCTTGTTAGAATGGCAGACCCGCAGTCGAGTCAGCTCCTGCTGTGAAATGCTTAGACCAGCATCACCTCAGCTGCCCTCCTGCCTCTCATCTGTGTCTCTAGAACTCCTGTTGTAAAACACTGACCACGATGAGGTGGTGCACTCCCTTTTGATGATTTGTTGAAAATGCACTTTCTCTGTTCTTGGCTAGAGCAGGAAAAGGTCTGAAATCGTGGAAGTTTGGAAGGGAGGGACTGTTTGCCGGCACTGTGAATTACTGTCATGTTTTGGTGAGTGCAGAGGTACCCAGGGTAGGGAGAGAGGAAGGAGGCACTGTGGACTCAAAGGTTCTGATACATTTGTCTGTACTGTAAGTACTGTCTGTACTGAGAAGACCTGTTGCACCTGATTTAACTTTGGACCTTATTAAATCTGATTTTAAAAGGACTGTGAATTCTTGAGATGAAGGCAGTGCTGACATCTTGAGTTCTGATCTCCATCGTTTGATTTATGTAACAGCATTTTAATGTGCTTGAATATAGTAGAAGCTACACTACAGTAATAAATGGGTCATTAAAAGTTTTTTTAAAAGTTCCTTTTCCCCTAAAGGTTGGTATTCTTACGTTTACATATGAAGATCATTTGCACCTTTACAAGGAAAACAAGTATTCTGTAAACAAATGTTTACATTTATCATTTATGCTTTTTTCTAGCATGAGTAACTTGTATAAATAGTGCTATCTTAATAAATTTCTTCTATGCTATTGTTTGTTTGTTCCTTTGGTTGAAAGCAGTGGATTATGTTTTTGTACAGTTTGTTTAGATATAGTGAATAGGAATGCTACCTTTTTCAGGTAAAGGTCCAAGTAAAAGGGGCTTAAAAACTCTGCTGGCATTTGGTGTTACCTTCACTTACCTAGAAGCATGTGCTTCAGAACCAGTTTTGTTTTCCTGGAAGAAAGTAGCTGTGTGATCTTGTCAAATCTACCTCTGCTGCCTTCTCTGCAGATGCTGAGAGCCGTAGCACAAATAAGCATGTGATAAGGTAGGGGAAGTAGTTCTTTATTCCAGCACTAATCCACAGGCAGCCTATGGTAGATACTGAGCACGATTAGCAGAGCACTGGCTTCAGCTAAGTACTAATCTTAAAAGCAAAGCATGCTGCTGGAGCATTCCCACAAGCTTCATATGCTTTTAGGTTCTCTTCTTAAAGCTACATTGAACTTAGAAGTTGCTTATACAAACTGTCAGATCAGAACATTAGATCTTGAAAATGACTAATGGGTTAACTTAAAATCAAATACAGGTCTGCTTACCAAGCATTCCTCTCAGTCAACATAGCAAACTTTGATGTCTTTGAAAGGAAACTAAAACAAGAGAACTTATAGTTGCTGGGCAGTCAAGACCTGTGGCTGTGCTTAACTCAGTAAGCATCCTCAATTCACCAACTACAGCCTTCACAAGGCAAAACTAACTCTGCTTAATACAAACTGAAAGCAAGTACATGGTTCTTTTTCTGACTGTACTAGTAGGCTAGTTTCAGTAAGAGATAAGGAGCTGGGCATGTGATGGTGTCATGTTGTTCATGTGTACATGGCTGGTTCATCTTAGCCTTGCTGGGGTGAAGAAGGAACAAGCCAGCTCCTTTAAGGTGGAGTTGATGTGTTCTAACCTTGTGGTTTGGTCAACTCACACCTTGCCTTCCTGCTTACAGGTAGGTTACAACATATTTAACTGATTACTTGTACAAAGTTCTTGAAGCCTAAAGTTATTACAAGTGAATTTCACAGGAAATTATGCTTTACACATTCAATAATACTGTGAGCAGCAAAGCTTAACAGTTTAGTCAGGTAAAAAAATTAAAATAAAATACAAGTATACATTGAGTCAGACATGCTGTTCGTCTCTAGTCAATTAGGGAAAAAGGCTAAAAAAAATATTTATGAGGTACTGTTATACAAGTCATAGCACTTCTACTTCCTTTTGGCTCACATAGTTTGTAGTCAGCCTCTGTGCACTAGCTCTGAACTGTTACCTGGTATAGAATGAGATCAAATATAAAGTTCCAGCACCAAGAACTCCAACTCAGAACTCTGGCCTACAGTATTACATCCAGGGCAATAAACTACCAGGCAAAGCACATTAAATCTCTAGTTCATGCTGATTTCAATTTCTCACGCATTAACTTTGTGAGACCAGAGCTGGAAAAGGGAACTGTCATGCTTTTCACCTTGCTCAGCTAGGGAGTAGATGAACATTTTACGACCCTTACTAGCCAGTCTTAATTAGCTAAAAATGAAGTTAGAAGCTTAAAACATGTATCAGTTTTTCAGGCATGCTTGATAGTGGAGTGGTTGACATTTAGCCTGCAGCCCAAGTGTACCATAGTATAACTGTATAGCTGGTGCTATCAGTTAAGTGAAAACCAAAATTGCTGACAGCAGCAATAATGGAAAAACCTGTCAGTAAGTCGCATCCAAGAACTTGCAGTTTTGTTTCCTAGCCTCCAGCAGATAAATACAGACAAATGGATAGAGCAACTATAACAGACAGATGCTTAACAAGCTACTCTAGGGTTAAATGCCTTTTCTGCATCCTAAATTGTGGCTATGGATTTAAATGCAGTAGTTGCACACAGGAGTTACAGATCAGAAGAAAAAATGCTGCAAGAAAGAATTTTCAGTAGGCTTATCAGCTTCCATTGGTAAGCCTCTGTATGCACAAAGATATGCGGAGTTGAGTCTCACTGTATCTGAGAGATTGCTAATTCTGTCAGTAGCATCAGCACTCCAATCAGGTATTGGCTTTGTAGAAACTGTTTTAAAAAAAAAAAAAGAAAATCAGTGGTCATTTGCACAGCCTTAAATGACTAAAACAAATGAATGCAGTCAGATTTGCAGTTGTCTGCAAAATACTCTTTTTTTAAAAACGATTTTGACCCAAGATATGCAACAGAAACACTCCTGCCTCCATGCTGCTCTTGTTGGAGCCCTCTGACTTCTACTAGGAAGCTATTTGTAAGAAACAGGCAGCCTTCATTTTTAAAAGGAAGGCATTTCTAGTAAAGTACAACTATTCTACTTGTCTGGTATTAGGATAACATGCTGCATTATCATTGAACTCACTTTTATGATCCCATCACAGTGTGCTGAGGCAATTCCTGTAGAAACTTTCACTAGTTTTGTAGCTGACAAGTGGATCTTAAAGTGTCTGTGGAAGTGGGAATAAAGGCATTCCATAAAGACATCCACCTCTTCCTGAGTGATCTCTCCTGGAGTTTTTTGGACTGTGTCCCACAGAGCTTTTGCATCCTCAGGGTGAATGGCATATGAAATTTCCAGAGGCTGAGGCAGGTGAGGAACAGAGAAAAGGAGTTCCGTGGCAGCTGTGTTTCTGTCCACTTCGCATCCAGTCCACATAGCTGCCATCCAAGTGAGATTGAGAGGGCTGATGGCTAAACGACGGAAACAGCAGTCAAAAGTCTTCTGAAACCAAGTTCCAACAATGGCTGTGTAACTTTCTGCCCCATTAACAAGGAACAAAGGTAAACAAGTGAAGTTCTCAGGCAAATTCTCTAAAAGATCATCTCCAGCCACACAGCAGAACCATCCTGACCATATCAGCTTCTCTTCTGAGTTTTTTGGGGAAAGTGATGATCTCAAGGAAAGCTGGAACGGGGAAAAGAATCACAGAATCATTAAAGTTGAAGAAGGCCACCATGATCGTCCCGTCCAACCATCAACCTATCCCCACCGACCACATCCTTCAGGGCCACATCCCCACAGTTGGTGAACACTTCCAGGGACAGGCAACTCCCCCAACTCCCTGGGCATCCAGCACCTCAACACTCCCGACAAGAAGTTTTTCCTAATACCCAAACAGAACCTCCAGAGGCACAACCTGAGGCCATTCCCTCTTGTCCTATCGCAGGAGCAGAGGCCGACCCTCACCTCACCACGAGGTCTCCCCTGTGCTCCCCTTCTCCACACCGCCCCATCCCATTCCCTCAGCTGCTCCCCACTCCCTGTGCTCTGTCCTTAGCTGGTCCCAGAGCTGTGAATAGCACCCCAGTGCCCCACCTGCACCAGCACAGCGGCGGGGTCCTGCTCGCTGCCCCTCAGCTCGGGCAGACCGGACATGGCCACCTTGACCCCCAGCTCTCCGTCCATATCCACTGCCAGCCCCTTCTGCTTCTCGGCGGCGATGAAGACACCCAACATGCGGGCGTAGTCCTTCAAGTCGGCGTTGGAAAACTTGTACAGAGGGCTGACACTGTACAGGGTCCACTGCTTCCGCAGGAGGAACGCCGTCTTCTGCGGATCCGCGTTCTCCTAAAAACGAAGGACAAACATCCATAGCATCGCTCCCCCTCGGGGCTCGGCGGCCTCCGAGGGACGGTCCTACCTGACAGCGCGGCGGCAGCAAGCGGCTGCCGGGGCTCAGCCCGTAGTTCCGCCCGAACAGCGGACCTCGGGACAGCCGCCCAGTGCCGGATGGCCGCCCGCTGCTGGGCAGCGTCCGCATCGCGCCCTCCATCTCTACAGCGGAGCCCGCCGCCGGCCCGCCCGCCATTTGAACGCCCGTCCCGTCGGCCCCCGCGCCGCCGCGCTTCCGCCCCGCCCGCCATCTTGGGGGCGGTGCCTTACGGTGGCTGGGTGAGCCGCCGGCTGAGCTGTGCCCGTTGCTGGGATGCTGCGCTTGGTACGTAGCGCGTTACCTCGGCTGAGTACCGAGCGGGCCCGGCTGAGCAGCGGCTGGGTGCCCCGCGCTCCAGGTGAGCGGGCTGTGAAGGGGTCAGTTCGAATCTAGCTATGGGCGCGTGGTTGAGCAGCAGCACCCATCGGCTGTTCCACACCAGAGGGTTAATTAACACCTGTGTGCTGGCTGCCAGCGGGTTTCCACGTTGGCTTCCTAAGCCCTCTTTCTGTTCTAGCCTTTAGTGGGGCTGTAAGAAGGAAGGGGGCAGACTCTTCAGCAAGGTCTGTGAGATGGGACACGGGGAAGTGGCTTCAAACTAAAAGAGGGGAGACCTGAACTGAATATAAGGAAGAAGTTAGTTATAATAAGGGCTGTTAGGCACTGACGAAGGCTGCCCAGAGAGCTGTGGGTGCCCCATCCCTGCAGACAGCCTGAGTTCCTGTGTTTTTTTTTTTATTTCAGATGTCAATAGCTTTGCTGCTCGGACCAACACGTGTGGAGAGCTGCGTGCTGCTCATATAGGACAGGAGGTCACCTTGTGTGGATGGATTCAGTACCAAAGGTAAACTCAAACCACTGTGAGAACAGAGCTGCTTCGTTGGTAGATCCAATGTACTCTCTAGGCCTGCGTTCTGACACTTCTGTGTGCTTTCAGTTACCTTTTACGTCTTATGTTATCCCTTTCTAATATGTGTGACTAAGCAGTTGGAAACCATGCCACCGCAGTATTTAACATTCCAGAGTTTGGTATCAATATTAATTGATACTCCTTGCATCCCTGTGAACAGCTAAATATTGCTACCTTCTTTGTGCGTAGGAGTAAGTAAATAGTAATGTACTTACAGCAGTTCAGACAGCTTTTAATTTCTTTTCTATGAATTTCTTAGGTTGTTTTTCAATTTACAAACAAAATATATTTTCTACTGTAACATCTAAGGATGCTTCTTTAAAGTATGCATGCTTTACTTGAAAAGGATATGCTAGGAGAAGCTAGTAAGCAAAGGATAAAATATCAGTTCCAACATCTTGCCTTAGGTGGTGTTAAATAACCTCTCCTATTGGAGCTGTGCATTTGCCAAATGCAGACTGAAAAGCTTGTTTGTATTGCAGCTCTTAATTGTTGTGTTCTTGGATATGTGCAAGTGAAAAGGAGGTAAGTCCTATGGTTTTGAGCAGAATAATTCCCATCAAAAACGGCCTTCTGTATTTTATACTGCAGAGGGACTGCCTTTTATTCAGTATTGTTTTGCAGTCATGGTTGGCATTGGTTGTGTGAGGCCAGCATGAGCATCTCTGAGTGGGTGGGGTTCCAGGAGCAATGTTGTCATTATTGAAATGAGATTGTTGGGCTTTTGCCTTTAAACACAGGGTATGTTTCATAGGACAGCTTCAAGCATAACAGCAGCTGCCACTATTGCAGCTAAGGAGATTGATATTTGTGATGCTTGGTCTAGGAGCGTGAGTTGCTCATGTCAAACTTATGAGAGTAGCACTCTGCTGCCTGTTAGATGGTTGTGAGTTTTCTTTTTGTTGTTTTGTTGACAAAAATCCAGGTGAACTTCAGTTTTGTTGCTCACCTAAATATGTTTATCTGGATCAAGTTTCTCAGCAGGAAATCTGTGGACATTACCTGTGTTTGTAAGCCGTGCTTTCTGTGATTTCATGTTCAAATTAAGATACTGCATCTTCTGGTTATTTGCACATTGTGATTGGATAAAATCTGAGTCCAGTTGTTCAGATCATATTCAGATGTGTATGCTTCTGAAGTGTTTTAAAATATTAGTAACAAGATACAGACAATAACTTGTCACCACATGCATTGAGTTAAAAAGCAAAAGATGACTGGATTTTGACAGAACTTTTCCCTTTTGTGTTTTTTTTTTTGTGGATCAGACAAGGCCTGTTCCTGGTTTTGAGGGATTTCCAGGGACTCACCCAGATCATCATTCCACAGGATGAAGTAAGTGCTACCTAAGTATGAGCTTCTGCGCAGCAGAAATTGAGGGCAGAGCACGATACTTAACCAGAGAGCCCTGTGATGCTGCAAAAGGACTGCTAGTATTGTTTCCTCTGGTTTTGCACTGGTCCCAGATTCAAATGGACCATTTAGAAATGAGGCACAGTGCTTTTGAGTTTTTTGAGGTACATTGGGATCTCCTTGCAGGCACATTCTCATGTGAGGAAGCTCCTGTCCAATGCCCCAGTGGAATCTGTTGTGCGAGTGACTGGCATCGTGTCTTCTCGGCCCCCAGGGCAGGAGAATCTGGTGAGGATGCTGGGGTCTCTCAAGGTTTTTATTCCTCTGGGGGAGAAGAGCACTGGGCATTGGGGTTATGGTCGTTTATTTGTGTCATAGCTTTGCCACAGACAGTTTTGTTCTGTGCTGTATGTCAGCCTATCCTCAGAGATTGTGAGGTAGGAGTAACTGCTGTGACAAATAGCTTAAGAAAAGCCACAGCACCTTACAGACACCCAGAATTAAATTCTACTCTTTGAAAGGATAACGAGAACCAGGGAAAAGCTGACTTTTCAGCCTTTCAAATTGTGGTTGAGATCACTTTTTTTTTTTTTCTTCTAAAAATAAGTATTGTCACTGTCTTTTGCAGTAAGAGATGACCTTTTCCTCTCTCGATAGATTTGTTTCTCATTATATAAGAAACAAAGATTTAATACTGTTTTTTCTTTTACAAGTGCATTTCTCAGTTCTCATTGTAATCAGCTGTTGTTTTGCTGACAAAATCCATGTGAACTTCAGTTTTGTTGCTCCCCTAAATGCCTGTCAGGATTGTCAGTATCCTGCATCATTGGCAGACCTGGAAAGAAGTTTGTGTATACTTTCCCCTGCTAACTAAAGAGTTCCGTAAGATGAAACGAATCTCAGTGTGGCACAGTGCTGAGCGGTGGGGGCTGTCTGCTTTCCCTCAGGAAAAGAATACTAGTTCTGAGAACTGGTGTTCAGAACTGGAAATTCTGAGAAGTTCCTCCCAAGTCGCCTTTTTGGACTTTTATTGAAGGCAAATGTACTCTAAAATTCATTCTATGTGATTTCATTGAATCTAATGGAACTACTGTTCTGTCCAAGTGCATGTGCCCTACCAGGATCTGTGTTGGACTGCTGCTCTGTGCTCAGCATGTCACTGAAGCAGAAAGTAAAGGAAAAGCAGTGTTATTTCTTGGAGAGATGGATATGCTGCTAGAAGAGAACACACAATTTTGAGTGAGCTGGCTTGTATTTTTTTCTGAGCAGGAGGAAAATCTAGGAGAGATTTCTACTTGAGAGAAGTTCTGAGTTATACTGTATTAAAAGGCAGAGAGGCTAATTATATGAATTGGGCTTGGTCTGTTTCCACTGTTTCCAACTTTGAAATACCTTTGCCCAGCTGATCACCCTAAGTTTTGAATCTGTTCTTTTTCTTGCCTTTTTCTGTAGAAAATGCCAACAGGGGACATTGAAGTCAAGGTGGAGACTGCAGAGGTTCTCAACTTTTGCAAGAAGCTGCCCTTTGAAATCAAAGATTTCATCAAGGTCTCTGCATTCTTCCCTTGTACCAAGGCAGTGGGTTTTCAGTAAATCAGGAATTTGTCCAGGGTGATGGCAAAACATCTGTGAGAGCTTCATCTGATTCTTCCCAGCTGTGCTTTAGAAGAAGGGTGTGTGTATTGTTAGTGGGGAGGTGACATTTCTAATTGGACTTATGCAGAAAACGAGGCTTGAATGTTTCCACTGCAGAGAGTTTTAAAATGCCACACTAAGAACAGATGGTAAAGGGAAAAGTGCAAGAAATTCAGGCTGTGCTAGCTTTTCTTGAGTGTGAAAGAGAATCTGCCAATGCAGTGCTGTGTTTTAAGGCAAGTGTGCTTAGTCTTATCTGGGTGAGTAGCTAGTTGGCCAGAGGATTTTCTTCAGTGAATACACAGTCTTATAAAAGGTTATTCTTATTGTAGTTTCTGTGGTATATGAAAGGCATTGCTGTTAAGTTCTTCTCTGCCACTGACTGTGTGACTGATACATAGGTGTAAGAATTGGGAGAACTGCGTGCTGTTCCTTCCATGTTACATCTCCTGGGCAATTCCCACCATCTGCAGTAGTTTAATTTTCCTATCTGTGATAAGTGTGTATCACCATTTGGTTGTTCCTTTAGATACATGTATGATACTGCTCATCTGCTTAAGAGCCCCGGGGATCACTACAGTCTGTCACAGTGGAGCCAGAATTAAGAGGGCTGAAATTGAGATTTGCTGAGGCAACTCCTAGTGCAGAATGGATGTCTGTGTTTTTTCTTCCAAAAAAAACCCAATGATCATGCATTGGAGACTCTCTCAGTGGCTGCTCTTTCTCCATGCAGGCTGTGGGTTATGTGTGGCAACAGGGCAGTATCCTTTTCCAGCTTTCCCCCTTTTGTCCTGTGGCTTCATTGGGCATGCAGTTTGAGTTTTGTTTCTTCTCCCCAGAAATCAGAGGCCTTGCGCATGCAGTATCGCTACCTGGACCTGCGCAGCTCCCAGTTACAGTACAACCTGAGGCTGAGATCCCAGGTGGTGATGAGGATGCGAGAGTACCTGTGTAATCACCATGGTAAGCAAAGTGCTTGAAGAGCAGAGTGTAGCAGACAGCCTTGTAGAGTTTTCCTGCGCTTTCCTATTGCTAGGAGAGAGCACTAAACAACTCCAGGCTGTTCTCACTTGGGAAGGACACACAGCTTGTAGTGGCAGACTTAGAGGGATGTTGGCAGGTCTAAAGAACAAAGGATGTTGAAATATCTTAGCTTGCTGCAAAGCGGTTGTTTCTCATGAGCTACGTCCAGAATTTGAAGTGATCAAAGGCATTTTGCAAATAGTTTCTCTTTTGGTCATCCAACTGGAGGTGTATTAAAGAGATGAATTTCTTGTAGGGTTTATGTTTGTCTTAAAATCAGGAAGCCCTTCTTAAAAAAACCAAAGCCTAGTTCAAAATGGATAGAGAATTAAGAGTTTCTTTGCCAGTTTGGAGTTCTGTCTTCAACGGTTCTGGCAGTGCTTTGGGGAAGTTCAGCTTTTAAGTCGATCAGTGCAAAAGTTATTCTTAGAAACAGCAAAATCTGGAGATTTGGAGAGGCTGCATGGTGTGCTCCATTACCTCTAGAGCTGACTAACAAACCCTTCTCTAGCCTACTTTGTGTCATACTAGTTCTTGTCTCTGCTGTCAGCGTATTCTGTGTTTGTTCCTCAGGGTTTGTGGATGTAGAAACACCAACGCTCTTTAAGAGAACCCCAGGGGTATGTATTCCATTAGTGATGCATTTTAGCCTCCTGCAGTGGCATAGGCAGTTGATGGTTGAATTACAGTCACTTGCCACTCAACCTTCATTGCTTCCCCTCACTAACAGCTTGTATGTCAGTTTCTGATACAATGTATTGATCCTTGTAATAGTAGAGGGAATGGAAGGGTAGAAGTGGCACCTTTATGTCTTGACTTTGAACCTTCAATTACCATGAAAGAATAAAGCTTCTATCTTGTAGATTACATTGAATGCAAATCCTAGCCTGGAAAGACTTTTTTTTTTTAGCATTTATCTCTTAACCCGTAGCTTACTGCAGTGGCACTACTAAAAGCATTTCAGTTTCTGAGTTTATATTCCTTCCTTTCATTTCCAAAATAATCACAGACAAGCTGTAGGCCAGGAATATTGAATTCTTGCATTTAAATCCCTGTCATGAGTGCATTAGTCTAATATGCATATGCATTAGTCTTGCTGAACAAGAGGTAGAGAATCCTTATGGCTGTCTCAGATCAAGCTAGTTAACAGACTGTTTAATACAGAAGCAGCAGTTACATCAGAAATAGGATGTTATGATAGGGAAAATAGATCCTTTCCTCTTGCACTTCACAGTTGTGCTGTTAGCCTAGAATTTCTAGATTTAATTCTGAAAAATAGCTTTGTCTGAGGTTCTGTAATTGCCCACCAGGGAATCTGGTCTACCAGTAATGATACTGCACACCCAGTTTCTCCATTAGATGTGTATGTCAGACTTAAGTCCTGTATGTGTCCAAGTTGTTGATGCTAGATCTGATTCAGTAGTTGAGCAGAGCTCTGTGGTAGGTGTATCCCTATGGCTGGAGCAAAAGATGGCAAATCAAAGTGTTTTGCAAGGATACATGTCTTTCTGAGTCTTTGTGTCACTTCGCTGCTTCCTAATGCTGAGAGAAGGAATATCCCCACTTTATATTGCATATGTCCTTCACTCAGAGCTGAACAAATTGCTGCTGCATTTATTTCTAGCTCTGAACACAGCCCTAACTGGGATTAAAACCCAAAGTCTTGTGTGAGGCAGTCAAGAGCAGCAAATGGCAGGGAAGCAGAAGTGGATCCAGCCTTCAAGAGATGATTAAAGATTTACCAGATGTTACAAAAGGTTTCTCCACTTGCTCATGTCCAAGTACTATTTATAGGCTGTTCATACAGCTCTGTTTGGGTCACTTGAGGAAGCCCTGAAGTGACTTGTCTTCCACTTAGCTCTGCTGCCAGAGGCAGGAGCAAGAAAAAGATGGTATTTGAGCTTATTAGCTCCTTGATGATCAGAGAAGGAATACCCTACTTTCAACACACATCTGCAAGTGAAGTAGTAATAGTGCACATATGCTTGGGTGGGATTTGTGTTACAGACATGCTGAGGCAGCAGTCAGTCCAGATTGTGGTAGATCAGCAGTCTGCAGACTTGAACAGGCTACAGTCTGTTAAAGTGGCAGGCTGATGTATCTCTTCTCTTATCAGCTGCTGGTCCTTCTACAGTCATCTTCCAGCCACCTATGGAATTGTGCAGCCTGCACGTGTCTCTTTCAGTTCTGCTGCAGCCTTGGTACAAGGTGGATTTATTAGGCAGAAGCAGTGGGCAAGATGACAGAAACATAGCAGTTCCTTCACAGGATCTAGAATAAAGACTTGACCCTACCAACGCAAACACAGCCACATAAGTGCTGATTTCAGCAATCCTGGTGCAAGCTCATGGCTCACTTGTCTACAGTTTTGAAGGTAGAGGTCCAGAACTACAACACCAGCCTCTGAATTTCAGTGCTTAGCTTGGCTGCCTATGTAAACAGGGCAACTATTCCATTATCCTTCTCCAAAGCTTTTGAACCCCTTTATAATTTTCTTCTTCTTTGACTTGGCAAAGATTTTCAAAATAAAAAGTTCCTAGAGTGAAGTAAACCTATAGTAGGGGGAAAGGCTGCAGTATGACCTCATGCTATCAAACAAAAAATAATCTGGAGGGAAGGAATCTGGAAGAAAGATGTAGAGTGCATGAATTGAAGCATTTGTGTTGATTGCTGGGTGCATCAATTGTAGAAAATGGCTTATCTCTCCAGGTCAGGTATTTAGATGAAGGGTTCAATAACCTTTTCTTTCAAGTCTTGTTATCTTTATAAACTTCATGCTTTTGCCATTCCGTGTTCAATTTTCTCCTTTCCCAGTTTTTCTTGCTTGGAATGTTAAAGCTGAATTTTTGGAAAGAGAAGTGGGGAAGGAAAGTGGCCTAAGGCCACTGGTGTGCTGGGTATATTCTGGTTGGCTTTGTCTCAGCTGAGAGCAGAGGTGCTTACTTGCTAAACTTCTTTCTCATGCCAGGGGGCAAAGGAATTCCTTGTGCCCTCCAGGGAAGCAGGCAAGTTCTACTCCCTGCCTCAGAGTCCTCAGCAGTTCAAGCAGCTCCTGATGATTGGAGGCCTGGACAGGTAAGAGTTACTTGGACTGCCATTGTCTGCATGCACTGTCCAGGGTTTGCTTTCTTTGATGTGTGATGTGTTAGAGACTTCTCCAGGAACTTACTGCCAAGGGTTTTGTTTCAAAGAGATCCTTGAATACTTGCATTTTTTGCTAAGCCAGTCTCATTAGCAATAATACCTTCCAGTAAGAGTAACCTTATCTCTTTTTGATGGTTGAAATCTTTGCTATTTCAAATGGAAACCTGATCTTAAGCACAAATGTAGGGATAAGCTTTGCAGAGACAGTCTGCCTGAAGGACAGAAAATCTGTCAGAGTGCAGCTCACCTGGTAACCTTGGGAGGGTATGGCTGGAGATGGGTACAGCTGCTGGTATGCTGCTTCCAATCAAAATTCCATGCATTTAAGGGAATGGCAGCAATCAGGACTGTGATTATGCACTACATAGGGAGCAGAGCAGTCTTATGATCAGTTCTGTAGCCATAATTTAATTTAAGGTACCTTTAATTGTTATCTAAGTGTAAGTACTCTTGCAGGTACTTCCAGGTTGCTCGCTGCTACCGTGATGAAGGCTCACGGCCTGACAGGCAGCCAGAATTCACTCAGGTAACTAACATGCACTGCCTTTCACCCTCCCCTTCACCCAAAAAGCTTGTGGGTATTTTCATCTTCTGAAGGCTAAGTATCTGTTGGTCCTTGTCCTGCCTCAGGGACGTGGAATGCTGTTTTCTGTGTGCTTTGCAGCCACGGCCCCTTGCAGTCAGTGTGGGATGTGAACAAAGTTGTGACTGTCCTTGGCTGACTTCAGTCCCAGGTGCTGATGAGTAGATGTGGGAATTGTGTTGCAGCAGTGGTGGTACTTGATGATGCATTTCTGCTCCTGTCCTGCAGAGCTGGGCATCCCTTACATCAGCTTTGTACCCAGGCAGAGTTAGCTGGGTCCATTCAAGGTTTCTCTATTCATCCTTGTCATCATTACCTCACTTAGTTCTCTGAGGAGATTGTTGCCTGAGTCATCACAGTGTAGGGAGATCATAAACACACCCTTAGTCTAACGTAATCGTGCTATGACTTAATGTTGTATATTGTTTCCTGTTATGTGGGCTTAATATTCTAAGAGTTTCTGCAAATAGCAATGCAGAGGCAAAAACTACAGCTAATGTGCAATTTCCCTTTTGTTCTCTGTTTTCAGATAGATATAGAAATGTCATTTGTAGATCAAGCTGGGATCCAGAGGTTGATAGAGGGCCTCCTGCAATATTCCTGGCCTGAGGAAAGAGGCCCCATTACAACTCCTTTCCCTTCCATGACTTATGAGGAGGCACTGGCTGACTATGGGACTGATAAACCAGACACTCGCTTTGGGATGAAGGTGTGGGTTTGCCTGCTGGAAACTTGCAGCTTTTCTTTTTATTTCTGGTAGTGTTCTAAGAATAATCTTTGATTAAATTGTATGTATGTGGTTACGTGGAATTCTTAATCCTGTAATATACCAAAGGAATCTCTTGGGTTTTCCAGGCCCTCTTACATTTTTTGTCTCTGTAGCCATCAGTCTTCTGATAGTTACTCAAGCTTGGCCCCATTCATTTCTTTCTGGGACCTGTTGATTTCTCTGAGCAAGGAAATGGTGTCCCAAAGAGTGGCTTTTGAAGGCAGTAAGACAGAGGCTTGTGATTTTTTTTGCTTCATATTTTTACCGCAACAGCTTTTTCCTGTGCTCTCTCCTTGCTTAGATAGTGGATATCAGTGATACTTTCCGAAGATTGGACATTGGGTTTGTGCAGAATGTGCTCAGTTACCCTCACAGCACTGCCAAGGCTATTTGTATCCCTCAGGGAGTGGTAAGTGATGTTTTTACATGCTGTGTACACTTGTGAAATAAAATACCAACTCGAATTCCTTTGTTGGTGTGGAAATGTTCCCTGCTATGAGTGGGGGAGCAGCCTCCTTCAGGGAGCTCGGGGTTGCTTGTGATTGACGTCAGGTTGGGCAGAGTGTTGTTACAATTGGGAAATGGAGATGATCAGGCGATGGGAAGAATATATTGTCCTCATGAAGGCCAGAAAGAGAACAGAGCTGCAAGGTCCCCTGGGGATTGGGGAGCCTCTTGGGGCTTCAGCTTGCTTTTGTCAAGGATGGCATCTGAATAATAAATTTGCCCTCTGGGGAGAGGCTGAAATAGAATCAGGTATGGCACGGTGTTCTGGACTGATAGGAGAAAGGTCAGCTAGTTTGCATGCCTGTCTCACGATTGCTTTTGTTGCATTTCTGGGCGCTTCTCATGTAAGCAAAATGCCACAAATCAAACCCAAAGCTGACAGTAGATGGAAAACTATCTTTGGCCTATCTTAACGGGGAAGCAAATGTAACTCTGGCTGTGGATGTCTTTGCAGCATAGGCAGTAAGGAGAAAAAAGTATTGAACGCTTATCCTTAGAGAATAGAATAACATGAATCTGCATGATTTTTTTTTTAAACTGGAGCAGGCTTCCCAGGGCATTTGGTCATGTCACCAAGACTGCCAGAGCACAGGAAGCATTTGGACAATGCCATCAAACACAGGGTTTGAATTTTGGGTGGTTCTTTGTAGAGCCAGGAGTTGGATTCAGTAAAGTTTGTGAGTTCTTTCCGATTCTATGAGTAGGACTTCAGTTTGGGAGTTGTATAATTTTGGCAGAAAACGCAAGTTACTGTCTTCCCACCAGAGGGCACTAAAGAAGTGCATTTGCAAAACAAAAGTGGAGTTTCAAGCCTCTCTATCTTTAAATTTTTTTTTTTTTTTTTTTTTTTTTTTTTTTTAAGATCAGGAACATCTGCTGCATTCCTTTGCATGTGAGGATGAGCCTGGTTGGTTTCTTCCTGTTATTCCTCCACACTGAGCTGTGCTTTCACCATTGTCAGTGTAGTGTTAAAAACTTGTTCCTGCTCTGTAATCTGTAGGCTAGAGTAATTAATTGGCATGGTCTCCCACTGCTGACCAGCTATGTCTGATCTGTGAGTGAGGGGGAAAAACTGCAGCTTACAGAAGCCCCTTTCTGAAAGCAGTCCTTGGAGAAAACACTAAGCTGCCACGAGTTCAGTGCCATGAGCCCACTCTTGTCCCACAGCTCTTGTTTCTATCACAGGTTCTTGAACAGCTAGAAACAGAAGAACACGAGATGTTTGGAAACAGTAGATTTGAATTCTGGCAGGGCTTTCTGTAGATCATGCTGCTCTAATGTCTTTTCTTGCTTTTTCCTCAGAGATATCTTAAAAATAAAGATTTGGAATCCTTAAAGGAGGCTGCAAAATCCCAGTTCAACCAGGTGAGACAGTAACACTGCTGGAATGTTACAAGTGGTGAATGATAAACTGTATGAAGGCACTTGTAGGCAGAAGAAGGTAGAGGAGAATTTTTAATAATAATAAAGGCTCATTACTAAGAGCCTTATTTAAAAAGAGTTGATGATGAGAGGGCAGCATTGACATGAACATATTCTTCTTACTGATCTTTCAATAGGAAATCATGGATGTTGTCTGCAGGCCCAATGGGAGCTTGAAGTCTTTGCTCACCAAGTTTCTTAGTCAAGAGCAACAGTCAGAGCTCATCCAAGCACTGAACATGCAGGTGGATGATGTGGTGCTGCTGGCAGCTGGAGACCACAAGCGAGTGGTAGGAAGCATTTCTGGGTTACCATGAGAGTTGAATGTTGCTGTTGACTTTGAAGTTACCTGTCCTTTGTCTAATACCCCAGATCACTAAAATCATAGAGTCATAGAACAGCCTGGGTTGAAAAGGACCACTGTGATCATTGAGTTTCAACCCCCTGCTCTGTGCAGGGTCACCAACCACCAAACCAGGCTGTCCAGAGCCACATCCAGCCTGGCCTTGAATGTCTCCAGGAATGGGGCATCCACAACCTTCTTGGACAACCTGTTCCAGTGCGTCACCACCCTCTGTGTGAAAAAATTCCTGCTAATATCTAACCTAAATCTCCCCCATCTTAGTTTAAAACCATTGCCTCCTGTCCTATAGACATTCCCCCTCCTGTTTATATGCTCCCTTCAAATATTGGAAGGCCACAAGAAGGTCTTCCCAGAGCCGTCTCTTCTGATTCCTTGTTTCTTTGCATCTGAAGCTGCATCAGCAACATATAATGCATGAAGTGTACCTATTGTTTCTGTTTCTCTCCCAGTTATATTCTGGGAAGAGTTTGTAACCAAGATGAAGGCTGGAATATAAAACAGGAACAAATTGGCACCGCTTCTCTCAGCTCAACTTACTTCTTAAAGCACTAAACAGAGACTAGAAAACAAAGACACCTAGGTAGCTGTCTCCTGTAAGCAGATGGTAAGAGTGAAACATGGCTGCTTATTAGCAGAGGAGATAGGAGATTCTGTCCCTAACCTTCTCTATATTCCTGCCAGTAGATGTTGCCTTCCAGGCATTCTTTTATGTATGGTGTCATGTTCTGCATGATCACCAAAACTGTCTCTTCTTTCTGTGCCTTCATTTCTGTCTTAAAAGTGAGGATATTACCTATGATTCCCTGTTAATCCATGCTTATGTAGAACTTGAGGTCAGTCTGGGAGAGTTTTGTGAGGATGGATTGTGGAAGAAAATGAGCTTTTCCAGCTTCTTACTCAGCCTTTTTCTTTTTTTTTTGTCAAACCCTGGAGCTGCTGCTGCCTTGGCAGGAAGGTGATATTTTTTAGGAGACAAGGCAAGAATGCTTTTACTGCAACAGCACAGTACAGCTAATACTTTATATGATGCTGCTGTTACAAAAAACTCTTTCCCTGGATGGTATACGAGCAACTTCTCTGGCAGTAAAATTGCCCCTTCTCATTAGCTCCTTTCTTTTCTGCAGTGCTCTGCATTAGGAAGCCTACGGCTGCAGAGTGCTGACCTCCTGGAGGCAGCTGGAATGATACTGCGGGATCCTGCAGCTCTTCACTTCCTCTGGGTGGTGGATTTCCCACTTTTCCTCCCCAAGGAAGAGAATCCCTCTGAACTGGAGTCTGCTCATCACCCCTTCACTGCCCCTCATCCTTCAGATACCAACCTCCTCTATTCTGACCCCACAAAGGTAACTAACTTCACGCCTGTTGTGTTGGCCCTCTGATAGCTCTGTGTTGTGGAAAACTAGCTACCTGTCTGTTTGAAAGGTACAACTTTAATATTACTCTGAATAACAACCAGCTTCTTGGTGCCCCTCTGGCAAAAGGGACTTGTTGGAAGCAGCTGCTTAAGGTGAGGGATCTTGTATTCTGACCCATACCATGTTGCTTCAAGTTTTGATCAAGTTTCCAAAAGAACATGCATTGTTCCTGTTGCTGTTCAGCTATGTGCCACCCTGAGGTGACATGCACCTGTGTCAACAGCAGTCCATGCTTCTGTTAGGAATGGTATTTGACTTGGAGCTTTTTCTGTGCTCAGGCTTGGGATCAATCAGGTCTCAGCATGGAGCCTGAATTCTCAATGGATGCAAACTGCTGTTAAAATGGCAACGACAAAGCCACAAAAGAAGAGATGTGCCCATGTGATTTCTTTCATATTTTTGCTGGAGCTGGAACCAGAAGAGGAATGTTGGCGAGACTTGAAGTCTGCCTTGCTCTGTATCTACTAATAGGACTTTATAAAAAATGAAAGCTCTCAATTGTTTCCTTTCTCTTTGATTATATTGTGATCTATATGTTTGTTATTCTTAAGTTTGGAATCTGTTACCCCCCCAGTAGAATTCAGTGGAAAACTTTATCCTCAGTGTTTGGACCCTCCTTCGTTTGTGAATTACAAGGCTGCGTTGAGAGAGCAGTGTTGCAGTACGTCATGTCTTCGTTTGCAGCATCTTTGTATGTGTATTGTATGTAAATGCCATTGGGACCCAGCTTTTCTAAGGTGCTTGTTGGTTTCTTTTCCCAGGTTCGTAGCCAGCATTATGACCTTGTGCTGAATGGCAGTGAAATTGGAGGTGGCTCCATCAGAATTCATAATGCGCAACAGCAGCGTTTTGTGCTGGAGAAAGTGCTGAAGGTAACACCTCCAGATGTCTCCCAACATCCTCTTAAAGTTTTAAATGACTGCTCCGTTTATAGGTGCTCCAAATTCTGGAGAAACAGGAGTGTCCTTCTCAGATAAACAGCTCCTAGAGATGGATGACTCCATCAGATCCTATGCTGTCAATAGGAAGAGCATTGTTTGTTCAGTAATGTTTCTTATGTAACTTTGCAGGAGGACTCAGAGGTGCTTTCCCATCTGCTTGAGGCTCTGGAATTTGGAGCTCCCCCTCATGGAGGAATTGCTTTAGGTGAGTGCTTTGCAATTATCCAGAATGCAGGTGTCTTGTGGCTTTCTTTTGGTATATTAGATTTTGAGAATAAGCCTCATTTGTTAGCAAAAGCCCTATCTCCTCCTGATGTGAGAGATGGCTGTTTTGGTGGTGCTAAAAAGTAACAACCAACATGCTTCCATTTCTGTGTCTACTTTATGAAAGAGACCAGAGCTCTTGAATGTTTTGGCGTTCCTATCCAGCATCATAATGTGTTTTAGTTCTTCTGCAAGGACCAAATCAGCTGTTAGTGCATCTGAGGACAGTCCTTATCTACTGTTCTACAAACAGCGTGTTTATTAACACTGGGTCATCTTAATTCTTCTTCCTGTGCAGCCAGTACAGGATCTCTGTATTGCACCCCCGGAGGCATGGGATGGTATGGTACTGCTTCATGCCCTGGGTTACTGCCACAATCTCAGCCTTTCCTTCAGCCTCACTTCCCTTCTGCCTTCTGTTTCATTCATTCATTCAGAGACTTAAACTGACAGTGAGTGAATGCTGTCACGTTAGCTCCCTGATCCGTCTCGGCATGAGCCTGGTGGATACCTGTACACAGCAGTGCAATGTACACAACAGGGAGAAATTACATCTCAGGAGACACAGGGAGTGTGAGGAGGCAGCAGCACTGATCTAGATTGGATTAAGCTCCTGTGGAATGGAATCTTGAGAAGTCATTACAGCACTGTGTACAGCGTTACAGGAATGTCTGTTTTCCTAGAATCTTTCAGGTTTTTGTTTAAACAGCAACAGAAGAAGAACGCTTTAACTTGCTGTCTTAAAATGTGATTTTTCCCTTATCTGATCACTCAGAGGCTATTACTCCTTCTGAATTCCTCCTGGTTGTTCTAGTCCTTCAGAACTGATTGACCAAGAGCTTTGAGCAGTTAAACAGAGCCCTGACAATGTTCCTGTTGCGTAGTGGCCCTGGCATTGTTATGCTGCTTTTGAAAAGGCACTGTCTCTGTCTTGCAGTCTTTGTTATGTCACAGAATTTTTTGTAACATTGAAAAGCTTTATTTTGCTAGGCTCATCTGCTGTCTAGGTGTCTCTGTTTCTCTCTTTACTGGTTGAGGGTAACTTTTTTCCCCTTACTTCATTAAGTCTGGCAGTATTACCTACTCCCACCTTTCTGATTTTCTGAATCAGAGAAACTAGCACAGGACCGTAGCTCAAGTGATTCATCAATTTGTTTTCTGCTTCTAGGACTTGACAGGCTCATCTCCCTCATCGTTGGCTCTCCGAGTATCCGAGATGTCATTGCTTTTCCTAAGTCATTCAGGGGACGGGACCTGATGGGCAGTGCTCCAGACTATGTCACTCCAGAACAATTAGAGCCGTATCACATCCACGTTTCGTGGCCTGCTGCAGAAACAGAAGCGAAGAAAAACTGACTTGCAGCAAGTGATGTGAATTGAACTGTTAAAGCAGAGATGCTTCCAACTTATAAATACTAAAATTCAGTTTGAAAAAACATCAACTTATGGGAGGACCAGAGGAGTATAACCCCACTGCGCACTGCGGTTTCAGAACAGAATGGGGAACAGATGTGATAGCTCCCCTGATAGGAATTTATCTTTGGGTTGTCAATGGGAGGGAGAAATAGGAAAGTGAAAAGAAAAATGCCCATCGTTTTAGCTTAGGATAGTGAGACTGTTGCCTTTGGGGTGTTGTATCTGAAGGTACGGTTATTTATTCATTTCCCACTTTCCAGTTTGCACACACAAACTCCTCCCTGAAATCTAAAGGAGGCAGCGTACCAGCTTCTCTGGAAAATGATCCAGTGGTCCTGATAATCACTGAATCTCTAGCTGAGAACTGTTACAGCAGAGTAATGCCATGCTGGGTAAAGAGCCTGACAAAGCTTCAGTGCATCCAACAGCTTGTGTCGTGCTGGAGGATACCTGATCATACAGAATTTACCATGGGGAGTTGCACTCGAGTGTTCCCTGTTAAAAGCAGGCAGAGGAGGAGGCGTGGTATTTGCAGCAGTTGTCCTTGTGATGTTCATCAAACAGGAGATGATGTGTCTTTGGGGCCTGTGGTCCTGCCACTTTCAGAGCACCGGTTCTGAAGTTTGTATCCTTTGTAAATAAAGTTTGTCTAGCAGTTCGGTTTTGTCTGAGCTTGGCTTTGCACATCTTTGATTGGAAACAAGCTGGAAATATGGGAGTTAGAACAAAATGTTACACACCACCTTGTGAGAGTTATTGCAGTGATAATTCCCTTAACATTTAAGCAGTGATCAGAACAAGGCGATGTTATACTCAGATTGCTTCTTTTGAGGATGGTGGTTTTGCTATTTACCTTTTCTACTGAAAGTGAGAATAAATGGAACTTACACAGAATTTGCTTAAGAGTCATCTGTGTTTCTAAAGTAGGGATTATCAGAGGCTCCTTTGAGGACATGAAAGCATTAAAAAGACCAGTTTTTCTGAGAAGTTCTTCACTCCCCCAGACCATTATTTATAGTAAGCGTAAATATAATGTGCTCAGCTTTTTTAATTGTCACGTAAGGGATATTCTGTCTCTTGGTAAGAACTGCAAAGGCAAATGCTGTTTGCATCTGAAAAGTCCCAGTTCTTTAAATTAGGATTATTATCAAGCATTCAAAGGATAACATACTATAAGAAGCTTAGGCAAAAATGTAACGCTGCCTGGAACGTTGAAAGCACTTGTTAAAATGTGTGAACAAGCTGTCTCCAAGGCATAACATCCGTCTTTTATATGCAAGCTGTTTGGTGTGATGTTGATTTTTATTGTTTTTTTTCCACTGCTATATTAAGGGCTTGCTGCAGTTTGAAGTGTGTGATATAGCTATGATTAACTACAGTGAAAAAATACATCCAAACGTATCATCTGAGCTGCTGCAGTCCTGCTATGATCAGGTCAGTGGAAAAGATGGACCCTGAATACATGCAAACCATCTTTACTTGGATTTGTGAATGAAGGTAGGTTACAACACAACTGCTTGAATCTACTAGCAGTCCTGTGAACATTGTCACGGAGAAGATGTTACTTGATTTGGTTCTGTACAGTGCTGGCCTCTGGCTGCTATACCCAGAGCTGCTGGCCTTGCTAGGAACAGAATGACCAACAGAGGTACTGCATGAGGACTTACTCAAGGTCTCGCTGCTGTGAGCCAACCTGTGATAGTTGGGTACCCGTGTTTGATTTCAGCCTGTGTCTTTGAGAGCCTGGGGGCCTCAGCTGAGACCTTCTGTAAGGATGCCCAGTGCTGTGCAAGTGTCAACTCATTACTCAAGTGTACAAAACTAATCCTGGAGATGGTTCTTCTGTCAACCTGCTGCTCCTGCACGTGAGCAGGTGATGCTTTGTACATTCCTGTAGCGAATTTCCAACAACAGCAACAGGGAGGCATGGCCCCACTGCAGTGCATCCCTCTGGGAGGGACGTGGCTGGTGTTAGGTGAAACTGAAATGGCATTCAGTGAGTAAATGCAGCCCCAGAGAACATCTGTAATGCTAAGAGTGAAAGGACAAGGTGAGTTTATTCTCCCAAATACGAGCTTTTCTATTTTCTCCTCTTGTGCAAACAACTGATGGTGAAAAACAATGGCATATTTTGACCACACTTGCTCACTGGTGTCTCTGTGCATAGCCAGCAGTCTTGTGAGGATGCTCGGTGCTCTCTCTGTGCTTTTGGCCCATGTGCTAACAGCAGCAGCAGAGGCACAGCCAACTGACAGCCATATCAATGCTGCCAGATGGAAATCCCCTATGTAAACTTCACCTGACTTCACCTCTAAATATTTGGGCTCTTATTTTAGACTCATGCTCTAGTTTGTTGTTTTCCTCCCAGCATTGTTTTATGTAATTAACAAATGCTGCTTACATGCGGTCACCAGCTGTGCCAGCCACAATTTTGCAGCACAGAACTCTGTGGCAGATATATTCAGCCTGCATTGGTCCCATTTTCCTCTAATAAGTTCCAGCTTTCTCCTTCAATCTTGATATCCTCTGATTTTGCTGCAGTGCTGAGTAGAGTTGAAGGTGTCCTGTACTATTCTCCTGCAAACTGTGTTATATTTTGATGTATTCACTTTCTGCCCCATGTTGCAGCAATATACAAGGAAACTTCTGGGTGAAAAACAAGCTTCTTTGGTTACTATTCAAAACAAAACCAAACCCAACCACTACATGAAGTACCTTAAGAAGCTATGGGCAACTCTTCACTCCTCCCTGAACAGCAGATGCCAACTGAACAGCATAAAAACATTTCAGGGAACAGTTGGTACAAGGGCATGTATAGTTGAGTTGATTGCAGAACAAGCATAGTGTGCTATCAGATTTTTTTTAATATTAAACTCAATTTAGGGAGTGATAGATCTAAAACACTGTCAGCCCTGAGAATCTGGCTTGTTTGCTTGGCAGTTTGAAGATAATTGCAGATGAAGCCCACAGTTCTTTGTTGGTATCCCTTAAAAATGTAGATTCCTTGTTTGTCATCTGTTCTGTTGTCTTGTCAGGAGATGTTTATCCATGTATAAAGAAGACATCCAGTAAAAAGACAGCTCTTTTAAGGAGAGGGATGTAATTTTAGCACAGTTGCCACAGAAATGCCTAGGACCGAATTCAGCCATGGCTGTGCTGGGAGATGTCTTGCTGGATTTCATGCTCTTTTGCGAGCCACGTGAAGAAAAAAGCACCTGGCAGGCCACTGCTAATTGCATCTGCAGAAGGTGAGACAAATAACAATGAATACAAGCACCCGTTAAGTGCAGACTCATCAGTTAGCTAAGTATGCTCCTGATTCCCTTCTTCCTGCGGTCCCTGGGGCTGCACCAGGCAGGTAATTGTGGAGGCTCTGCTTTTCAGCAGCTCCCAGCACTTCTGCATATCTCCTTTCTGGGCATTGGCTCTCCTTAAGCAAATGTGGAAAAAGATGCATGCTTTCCTGGATTTATTGACAGCTTCTTGCTACTGTCCAACTTACCTGTTTTGTAATAGAATTATCAAAGCCAATATCTTACTTAAGTACCTCTCAAAGAATATTTCTTAGTCTAGGCAAGGGAACCTAACAGAACATGTTTTTCTTTCTTCTGAAATGTCTTTTTGATAGTGAGGAAGCCTGGATTGGATACAAATTACACCAGCCCTTTTTGTGTATGTAGCCTTTATGCCTTGTCATTTATAGCATTTAAAGTGAGCAAATCACACATCCTCATGTGTTTTCCCTTTTATATCCATTTGCCAACTCAGTGTCATAGAACTGTTCGAGTTGCAAGGGACCCTTCAAGGCCATCTGGTCCCACTCCCTGCACTGAGCAGGGACACCCGCAGCTGCATCAGTGCCCAGAGCCCATCCAGCCTGACCTTGGCTGTCTGCAGGGATGGGGCACTACCATCTCTCTGGGCAACCTGTGCCATTGCCTCACTGCCCTTATTGATTATACTGACTTCATTATATCCACTCTAAATCTCCCCTCTTATAGTTTGAAATCATTTCCCCGTTCTATCTTACAGACCCTTCTAAAAAGCTGAAGAGAAAGAAGCACTGACTAGCACTGCCTGTGGTAACAATTATCAGTGAGATCTCTGCTTAACATGCAGAAAAAATGTCATGGGTGTTCTTGGGAAAACAGGTGGTCTCATGCTGTCTGAGTGTCAGGGATTTTGTTAAGGAGCAAGCTAAAGTGATTTCAGAACAGTCTGTGGTGTTTCTTGACAAAAATGGGGCACCTGAATGCCCTGGATTTAAGTAGTACCTGTCTCTAGAAAGAATACAAAGAAGGCCTGGGTAATTGCAGATCTGTTTAATTATCATCTGCAGGAGGAAAAAAATATATATCTGAAACAAAAGCAGCCTGGAGAGGTGCTCAACAAGTAAAGCATGTGGGGTTTTTAGGAGAAAGTCATCTCAAACCAAAGTAATCCCATGTGACAAGACAAAGACATCCCACGGCTTTGGGGAAGGCAGTACTTGACAATATGCTAAGCCTTTTGGTACAGTTGTGTCTGGTGTGATTCTGGATGAAATGGGCACCAAGTGATTGGATGATTGTATCTAAATGCTTTTTTGGGTGTTTGCCCAACGTTCTTTCAATCTTGGGTGGTGAATAGAGAGTATAGGTGCATGTATGGAGGAACCAGCTATTTCCCCACATAGGGTAGTGGGGAGAACATGTAGGCTGCTGGGAGAGGGAGGCAGAATTCAAGCCTTGAATGGAGAAATGGTCATGGAAAAAGTAGGATGCCATGCAATACAGGTAAATGCATGTTGATCCACTATAGGAGCTCTATAGACAGCATTAACTCTATAGACTAGCAGCAGGAACAGCTGGTGTTTATACTGGATCACAAGCAAAACACGAGTCAACGAAACTTGTCCTGTTGTGAAAAAGAAAACATCACACTGGGCTGTGAACAGACCTGCAGACAGCAAAGCACGTGTTGTGATCTCTTCATGCCACTCAGCACGTGTAGGGTTGCCTTGTGCAGTAGGTGTTGATGCTTTCCAATAGGGCTGCTGCATGTGTGGCTTAAGTAGTGTCAATCATTGGGCATCTCTACACAGATGTGATAGATGGAAAATCCTGAAGCACAGCCTTGTCTCTCTGGGTCACCTTGTTTGGATGCCTATAGTCAGATGCAGAGACTGCAGGCACTTCGCTAATCCCAACCCTTCTGTTATTCTTTCCTACTGAATTTTCAGTATTCATGTCTTTCCTCTTGATTCTTTCTCTGCTGCAGCCATCCTGTAACCTTGCTTTGTCTTAGGTTTTGGTTTTGGTTTTTTTCTTCCTGATTTTAGGGAGCTGGGCTGCAGTGAAGTTAGGCATTGGGTCCTTGGACATGGCGTAACCCCTTGGAGGGGTGGCTTAAAGGATCACGCTATCTCCAGTCTCGGAGTCTGAGCAGGGCCGGTGAGAGGCAAATGATGGCAGGGGAGGGAGTAGGTAAGAGCCAACCTTACATATAAGAATCAGCCCCATCTCCCTCCTGGTGTTGGGTCTTGGGGCAGTGTTGTTTGCCTTCCTAGCACTATTGGCCATGGATCTCCCCAATCCATGGCTTCTGAGAATGGGCTTTCTCTTGCCTCACAGCATGAGCTAGGTAATCTTAGTGCCCTTTTCCAACCTTAATGAT